TTTGCGTGCAAATTGTAAAATACATTGTTATGAAAAATATAGTTATAAATATTTTCAACGTTGTTTGCAGTTGTTGTTACCCGGCTGTACACAGAAAACGAGGGAAAACACCAAATTTTAAATAAAAATATAATATTTTCAGCACGCTGCTTTTTGTGAGATTTTGCAGAATCTAGATATCCGTGCTGTTCTATTATATTTAATCGACGCTCAATTTCTCGCCACTATTTAAGGTTTCAATTGTACCTGCAGCAAAACAGATTCCGTTTGTTTTCATATTCAAATGAAACTTGTAACAAAGTCAAATATCTGGGGATAGAAGCCGCTTGCAAAGCAAATAAATATAAACGTTTTTGTTATAATAAGTATGCGATCTTTCATCGTGATGGTATTTCTTGATTATTTAATTAATATCTTTTTTTCCCGTGCCTGTTTTAAAACGTGCTTAATTGTCTCTATTTATTGACAAAAGGTGCATAAGGCATTGATCAAAAATACTTAGGATAAAAGTTGGGTATCGACCCATTATCCTCAATATCCAAATTATTATCCCGTTATTTTTAAAACTTTTTGTCATTCAAACTAGTTCTCAAATAAATAAATAAATAAATAACCCTCATGCATGCGAAGAAGTTTGTGGCTCAGAAAAAATAATTTATTCGCATAAATTAGGGTATGTTAGATTTTGGTCACGCGAACAGTTAAGTGGTCAAAATTAAAAATCAGGGATATTGACCAACAACCTCGTCCCCAGGGCGCTATTCCCTGGCTTTGGAGGATGGGCGGGAAAAGCCCGCCCCACCTCCAAAGCCAGGAAAAAGCGCCCTGGGGACGAGGTTGATTGACCAATTGATGTCCAGTTTTATTTTGTATGGATAAATAACGTTTAGAAGTTTGCGTACAAAGTTTTGATTTACAATCAGACAAATTTTTGACCTCTAAAATTGCGTTTGCTGTCGTGAAACAAACTGGACAGTCATTTCAAACCTTAAGAGTGAAAAACATATAAAGTTTATTAAAAACGAAGAAATGGTAATACTGTATCATTTATCTCCTTTTGCAGTTTACTTGCACTACACCAGGCCCTTTCAATTTTCATAGGTAAAAGTCCTGGGTATGAGGCTAAGTTCACTGATCTTTACGCGGCCACGGAGAGGAGACTGAGAAATTGAACCAAAAATTTTAAAAAATAATAATGGTAATAAAAAATAAGTGGTATGATCATGATATATTTTTTTGACTGTTAAGTTTGCGCATATTTTCTTTTTTTCTCTCTTTCCTTTTCTCCCTGGCGTGGCACGGATGTCAATAGACTGCGAGCAGTGTCTCTTTTTCTTCAGATTTACTGGCCAGGCCGTTGCTTTAAGTTTGTCTTGGTGAGGGGAGTGCACGCGTACGCGAGCGTCGAGTGGCGAAGCATGATCATTTGCGTGTTTCGCACGTTTTGCTTGACGGTGTTAGGAAACGGAGAGACTGCTCTTGCCTAGGCCTCATTTTTCCGCGCGGCCAAATCGTTTCGGGTCACGTGGTTCACGAAGTGAAATAACCGAGAGAGACTGGGAGAACATCAATGCATTGCACGCTTGAGTTAACAACCCTAGTTCGTCACGCGACTCGACCAACGTGACAGTCTTATTGATCGAAGAAAAGTTTGGTTTTGCGGATAATTTGCCCTTATTATTCCTGATCGTTTGATTGGTGTGACTAAAAGCCGCAAATAAGAGGACGTCGACTTAGTGAAAGGCTGGTTAAAGGCAGTTGATCGAAAAATTGATTGAAAAGTTCTTCAACCTAGCCCAGGAATAGCCAGCGATTCGAAATACATCATGCCTGGCTGCTGTAAGACAACTTCTACTTGGGCCCAAAACCTCAAAGTTGGACCAGAATATCGCCAGTATACAGTCCAGCTGGTTCGTGACATTGGTTGTATTTGTGAAGAGTACCGTATCTACGTGAACGGCCATGAAATGGATCACCATAAGTTGACGTACAACCCGTGTAGTCCACTTTGTTTTAACGGCGGCCAGTTTGAGTGGGAGCAAGATGGACACTCTTTTCTGATAATTTACAATTCCCTGTCTTGGACGAATTATTTTGGAGGATTTCGTCTTTTTATAGACGGCGTTGACGTGAATACAGGTCGCGAATTTTCGTCGTTTTGGCGGCGACGGGGTTGGCAAATCGTTTTCGCTGGTTTGGTAATGCTTCTGTTGGGAATAACTCTTTCCCTTTTATCACACTATGTCATGCCAAGACGACCTGGGATGATCTTTGTTTCTGTTGGCTACGCTCTGGTTATCACAGGTGTTATTTACAGTTTGCTTGGGCTTATACCAGTCTTTCGATATCGAAAACCTCGTTACGACAGATCCGCTGCTGTGGAATACACGGCTAACATCGTTTGAGTTCCCGAGAACTTCACTTATCTAGCAAAGGCTTGTTTTCGAGGCTCTAAATTCATCAGCTAGCTAGATACATTTAAATTTCCATTTCATGAAAAGAAAGAACACAGATAGTCGTAGTTAATTTTGTGTTTATTGTATTCCCCTTCTGTGTGTTATGTAAAAGAATATCGAGTCTTATCAGACATATCAGTTTTCATACATGGGGATGGGTGGCCGGATAGATTGCTTATTTATGACTTCCTGTCATCTGCGGAGATGGAAATTAGGATTTTAATTGAAAGTGGCTTCGGTGCTTTGACATGTACTCGTTAACCTTAATAGTTTTTGACGGTTTACTGATCGTTCACAGTTTTACATATATTGGTTTGTCACGTCTTTGAATATATTTATTTTGCCTAAATTAATGTCCTGCCCACTACAGTCAACTCCTTTTATAGCGGACACTGTAAGGACCTTGTGTCAGTGTCCTCATTTGCGAGAGTCTGTAATAATGGGAGTTTATTTCAGTCAATCGTGTGTAATTTATTTTTGCCTGGGGTATAGCTGCTGTCCATATACTTATCAGGGTGTCTGTTATGACAGGGTTTCCACTGGGAGAGAGAGATGACTGTATTTGTATAGGTAATAGCATGATTTGTAGTGATAATTTTGGCATAAATACCATGAGTGATATTTCGAAATTGTTATACGTAATTTCATGAGTTGTTAGGCGAGTGAAATTTGCGACAATTTTGAAATATCACAAGTGGTATTTATGCCAAATATCACAAACAAATCATGCTATTATTTGTTTATACTTCTACCTGCAAACGGTTTGTAATTTTCATATGTAGGTATTACAAATTAAGCTGAAATACCACTGCTCTAAGCCACTCAAATTGGAGAAATTTCTCATGTAGTAGTATAATAACCGTTATTTAAGCTTGTTGGCCTTATAGGCTAATTTGAATTTTTGACTGGTTAATGTATTTCTCCCTTGGTACATATATTGCCAAGATTAATAATTTATGTACTATTGTGAATATTAAATGCCTGTAGTTTCCTTTCTTTGAATAGTGTAAATTTGGTATGTTTTTAAACCATATTACTATATCCAAAAAATGTATTTGATATTTGTTAAAACAAAATCTTAGTTGTACGTTAGTTAAAACAAAATCGTTATTAATTTTGTTAAAACAAAATCTTAGTTGTATGTTAGTTGTGTCATTTCATGCAGTGCTAATAAATATTGCTCACTGTTTGAAAATTTCATGGAATATTCTATAAATTAATATTTTCTCATCTGTTTGTTAATCCTTATGGAATCTTTAAAGAGTTTTAATGCTCAATTTTGCATATAATAATTATTTCTCCATGGTGAGAGAAAAGTAGTCTGAGTACCTCGGGCTTTAAGTACAACCACGCAACTGTGTTTAAATTGTGGGTGGCTCCTCCTAAGATTTTTTCTGGGCTGAAACCAATAGGTATAGGATTTAATGGTATTGCATGCATTTTAGACATCCTATTGGACTGTTCACAGTCCCTATTTTTTCGTAAGATTTTTGGGATTGACCATCTACCCTTACAGGCAACCACCATGGCTTCAAATGTCAGAACCTAGCCTGGGATGAGTATTACAGTATTTTAATCTACTTACTGGGCAGGGGATGGTTTGAGGGAAGGCACCTCCCCCGACAGCTACAAAACCCCGAGGCCCACCCTCTCAGTACATTTGAAACGAAGATGGCCACCCATAATAGTGAACACTGTATCTCTATGATCTTTACCCTGCATGGCAGGCATTGAAAGGGAAGGGGAAAGAGGGAAAGGGGAGATGAGGTTAGGGACAGAAGGAAAACATACTGCTCCCTTTCCGCTTTCACACTTTTCTTCCCGTCTGCCCTTTTGAAAGCCTGCCACATGGGCTAGATGATGCTTTGAAAAAATAGGGGTCTACGGATAGTCTAATATCCTACTGATAAACAGTTATGACAGATATTTAAGCCAAGAAAGGTGTCTGCTCAGGCAGACAAGAGATTTGCAGAAGCAACAGTTTTTCCAGTCTGTCCCGTTCACCCCTTTGGGATTTACATATAAAAATAAGGATCTATTTAATTGCAGTTTAAGAGAATTAAACTGAATTTGCTTTTTAAGCTCTCATATTTGAGTTCAAATTTGGCACCTACACTGGGTTATCTTAACCCAGATTTAAACAACCCGGCCCAGACAGCTTACTCACAATCTAACCTTTGGATGTCCATTAAGAGTAACTCTTTGGTGGGTTTAACTGAACGCAGCTGATGTACAAGACTCACGCTTACAATGTGGGATGATGGGTGGGGGAAGTGGTGCATTAAGAAAGGTAAACACTAGTTTTCATCAGGCAATTGACACTTCACAAATTAAGTCTGTCTGATTTTCACTGCAGCTTTATTTCATTTATTTCTGAACATTTCTGACATTTCACTGAATTAAGCATCGGCTGACCATTTCCTCAGGGATGTTCTCTCTTAGTGCAACTGGAGTATTACCAAGGGAAGTACAGAAGGTAAGATAGCATAACAAAGGTGGGGGAGGGGGTGGCGAAAGGAGAAGTTTGGATTACGCTGCTCAATCATTCACACACGAACATGATACAGAAAGGAGATTTATTGAACAAACTATTAAATAACGAGTCATATTTCAATTGAAATTTACTAATTGTACATTGCCTTGTTCAATCACTGTTGTTTGCCAGTAACATTTGAATTCCTAAACGGGACATTTCTAGAATGTGAAATTTAAAATGCACGTCAAAAAATATAAATATTGTAGGTAGTAAACCTACCTCTGTCACCAACATACTGGGATTTTATCGGTAGAACATCATGCATCTATTTTCACCAGGTTTCAAAAGTCCCAGCTAGTTCTGGTCAACAGAACAAGATTAACAGCATCCGTTCCATTCTGCGTCCCAGTTTGTACGCAAACGACGTAAACGGTTTTCAAATGTTTATGGCAAAAACAACCATTGCACAAAACTGGTAAGAATTTGTTCACTTCAGTTCCAACGACTATAACCAACCAACGGCGTCTTCTTAACACAAGACATGCCTAACTACAAATGTCAACCCAACAACAAAAAACTATCCTATTTATATTTCTTTAAAAGGTGAAATTTGAATGACAGTGCGACAAAAAATTCTAATACCGCGGTTTTTATTTTTGCTGTCCCTAAACATACTAAAAAACGGACAATACTACTGCGCATGCGCCGCACGCTGGGAAAAACGCCCAACCAACTAGACGCCTTGGAAACAACCGCACTGTTTGCAACATCGTTTCCGGGTTTTTTTTTCGTGAAGTACGTCGTCACTCTGGAAGACGCAGTCGACAGGACCCCTATAGCAATACAAGTGGTTCCACTCATTATTGATCGCTCTAATTAATCAGAATTCGTTGGAGGCTGAACGGACATTTTGATGCAACAGAGAAGTTTAGAAAACGCCACAGGTTAAAGATCAACCCAAAGGAGAAAAAATGCTCTAGTTCATTTAAAACTTGTTTCCTAATCCAGAAACAGTGCACTGCCATCAAATATCACCCGTTACAAATAGTGTTTAGGCAATCTACCTGAGGTATCCCTCAGCCAACTGTCCACGTTTTCCCACGACGTGAGAGGAAAAGCCTCACGTCTCTAGGATTGAAAGAAAGGCTTGGCTTCGCCGGCTAGAGTTTCTCCTCAATCTTACCACTTATTGAGAATAACAATTATTTCTCCTAATAATAAATTTGTGATCACTATTTTTCATAAATAAGGATAAAATACTTTTATTGAATTTTTCATAATACTCTGAACATTTTTCCTTCAGTGGAAATTTCAGTGAAGGTCAATTTTATAACCGCGACACAATTAGAAACTTTATAAGTGTCGTATACAGCGATTGAAAACATTGACAGGCTCTTTTTTCATTTAGTGTAGCTTGTCTGAGGATTCTTTTTAAATTTTTTAATATATAAAATGTGTTTGTTCAATATGAATTTTCATTTTTACTCCCAATTTTACTTCTAGATATTACTGTTCCTTTAACTAAGACAAAATGCAAGGTCTTCGTGAAAATCATATTGAAATAAATAAGCAAAATCAAAATTACATAAGCAGGTGGGAATCATTATTTACTAAAAAAATTTAAAAACGCTTAGGGTGAGAACTGTTGCTTCATTCAAGAGAAAACTGAAAGTTACTAGCAGAACATAAAACTTCTCCCAGACATCTTCATGATATAAAAATACGTTTTTTGTAATATCATCTTGAGTCTACAAGACACCAGAATGACCGACACAACAGCTTTAATTCCTCCTTTAAAATGTAAAAGTCTTAGCAGTCATTTGGACTATTTTGAATTTTGTGTATTTTGCACGTTCTTCGCTGTCTACAGTGCCATAAATTGGGGATGTTTCTATCTCACTGGGGAGGGGGAGGGGGTTAGGAGACCAATCGCGTTAACGTTAAGTAACCCAAACAGATTCCCCACGGGGCACAAATATAGGACCTTAACATCTACTAATTACATACAAGTACCTTTTCAAAAGAGGCAAACACCTGACAAAATACACCAAGGGGAAGGGTGAGAGAAGGCACCTTTCTCTCTCCCAATTTTTCCCCAAGGGTGAAGAAATGAATTAATTGTATCCCTGCAGTGCAGTACAGGTCACCTTTTGTAGTACCAGTGAAAGAACCCCTGGGTGATGACGAATAACAGCAATAGAAGCCAGTCTTTAAACTGTAAAGTGGCGATATCGTCCTGATGAGAGGAGTAATGTCGTCTCAGATCACTCCTGATGGCTCTCATTTGCTGAACACACTCCTTTTGTAAATCCTTCAGCGGCTGAAACACCTTCTCCAGCGTCGCTGCGTCAATACTCTCTTTGAGGCTCGAATCATCATCGTCATCCTCGATGCTGCTCGAGTGCTCGGCTTCAGGATCCGGCGTCGACGCTCCCGAACGGTCCATGGAATTGCGCCGTGATCCCTTCGCCTGTCCACTTCCCCTTGATCGGCCTGATGAAGGCCGTTTTCGTTTTGACATCGGTTTCTTGATTTCCGGTGCTTGGACACTCAGTAGACTTGTTGTTCGTACCATTGGTGCCTTTAGTCGGTACTGAGTCTTAATGATACCGTCATTTTCATACTCTCTCAGATCTGTCATTGGGTCCCATGGCCTCACACTAGAAAGCGAAATCAAAGAATTAGGCAAGGGACAATTATACTAAATCTATCGAATAGGTCCTTAACGGAGTGCATGTATTGACAGTGTATTGAGGAGGCAATACAAAAGACAAAAGTATCTGCTTACTGATTCACTAGAACCTCTCGAAGTCTACAACCCAGTAAAAAGTTCGCGATCGAAGTCAAGAGACTTATTGACCACCACAAAATATGAACTGTAGAGCTCTGGACGATGTGCCTTTTCTGGGCTTGCGTTTGGTAAACCTAAAACAGCACTGAATCAACAAAAAAATTTACATTTACATTGAACGAAATTTTCAGCGTGTCACGCTTTTAACACAGTGATATATAACCTGAATCGAACAAATACGCAAGCGCGTTATTACTTGGGCGTTACTTACTTCTAATCTAACCCTGTCGTACTGTAGTAGCAGAAAAACTCGTACTTACTCTCTATATTTGTAAACCCATCGGTTGATAGCATTAGGAGCCGCTGGATCTCTTTCAAACAGCTTAGGAATCCACTCTTCTCCAGTTTCTCTCCTTTCTTTGTGTCCTTTCCGTTGCGCCTCTTCAAGAATGAACTTCTCGTTTGTAGCTTTCTCCTGAATATTTAAGAAAAAACAATGCCTTACAATCTCACCACTTCATCTTCATCTACAGTTGAACCTCTTTACAACGGCCACCTTGGGGACAGGAGAAAGTGGCCATTGTTGAGAGATGGCCGTTGTTGAGAGGTTGAAACAAAAGTGAATGTATGGACTGTCCGTCAAAAAAAAATAGCCGTTGTAGAGATGAGGCCTGTAAATGAACACTCTTTCAGTTTCATGGCCCGTTTAAGGCATTCAGATAGAGGAGAAAGCACAAGGTAGACGCGAGGCAAATCTCTGGCTGTTTTTCCCGCCACAATTTTTTTTCTGCTCCATTCCCGGTCGCCACTTTAAAAACGAGGAGACTGGGCCCGGTTAACTTTCGAAAAGACTTCTGGGACTGTTACTAGGGATGGGAACAATCGACGAATAACTGACCGACGGGTCTTCAATTGGCGAATTGTTGTATTTGTGTAGTTACACAACCGATAAGGAGGGACGTAGGTGAAAAAGCATTGCTATTGAGATGTTACATATCACACCACATGTATCATATGCAATATTTACCTGATCGTTCATTCTGATAGCGTCACTGACATGTGTCCACAACCTGCAAAAATTACGCAGTGATAATAATGCACAGGACTCCTAAGATAATATTATCTGGGCTAAACAGTCCCTCAGGATTGTTGTGCGGGCAAGCATGTTATGTGCGAGCGAGAGACGCTTACGCGCATGGGAGAAAACGAAAAATGAATGAGGAACTGACGCTACCGATCGTTTCCCAGCAAAATGACGTCCGAGAAACGATCGCAGAAATTCGGTACTGATGACGCATCACTACTCAGATTTGGGTAGTACTTCTGATTGGTTGAAAAGTTGCTTAACCAATCAGAAGCACTACCCAGATCTTAGTAGTGACGCGTCATCAGTATGGAATTTCAGCGCTCGTTTCTCAGACATAATTTGGCGGGCAAACCTCGGGTAGCGTCGCGAAATGTCGGCTGTTTTCTCAGGCTAAAGAAAAGCGTGCCCACATGCCGAGAAATCGTCGACCCAGACCTTAAGGTAAAAGAAGGGCCCATTCTTTGCTCTACTCAAAACAAAACTCCCACATTGAGCAAATACCGTTTTTAGAAAACCGCGCGTCGACCGGGGGTGAGCTCCTTTCCCCAGATCCGCCCCTTTGATTTTCCATAAGACGGGCCCATTCTTTAGTCGAAACAAAACTCCCCTGGGCTTAATCGTCTTTCTCAATCAAAGACCGATCTGACCAACATTTTAATTTTCCAAAACCAAATTTGCCCAAGAATCGTCTATACGTCCCACTTCCGGTTGACATTTAAGTCCACTGCCCAAGCCGAATGAAAATAGCCCAATTCCGGTTCACACGACTTTCTCAGTCAGGACTACACCAACCCTGATAATCATATTCAACCTAATGATGACCCACAACAGGCACTCACTTTTCAGACTCAAATTCTCCTTGGGTGTTATAGTCCACTAAATATCTGGCAAGCCTCTGACTCCTGATCTCAGGCGTTGGGTCCCAAAATAGCTCAGGTAATGGTTCCACTTCCTAAAAAAAAACAGGTGAAGTCGATTGGTTACCGGTTCTAATCGCTTGTAAAACGCTTGTAAAAAATTCTATTTTAAAAGACTGCTAAGAATAATCGATAACGATTCTCGCTTCTAAAATACTTTCGCTAACTTCACGTGATGGCAACTGAGTCAGCAGATGTTAAAATATATTTTTTTCGTCGGAAAGTCAACTCAAAAGATAGTGTTTTTACTTACTCCCGCAGGAATTGGAGATTTTAAGTCTGTTATAAGAATCTCACCATCCTACAAAACAAAACAAACAAAAAACAGAGTGGTTGGAGTTACAGTAAGCCTTTTTACCATAAAAAAAAAAATTAATTTGTATGTGTGACTGCTCCTTTACCGTGGGACATTCAACCAGGTTTTTAACCCTGCAACTGAAACAGCATGTATTAAAACCCAGGAAACCAAACTCCCCGGAACACGTCAACTGAATGACGCAAACAGAAAGAAAAAATGAATATTTTACAGATTGGGTTGGGGTCTCTGTTTATTTGTTTGTTTTTTTACATTTTACCGATTGACAGGCTTGCTGGAGTTTTCCGGGTGTCGTTCTGGTGTTTCCGTGCATACCACGTAAGAGGGTGCGAATGAGGTTCACTGCTTAACGTATAAAGGCCTTTTTTCGCTATCGTAAGCGTATAAATTACAAAATATTTACTGACAAGCGCATTAAAGAACGTGATTTTTAAAGCGTAAATGGAGCAAAGTAGACACATAAAAGAAATAAAAGTAAGAAATTAATACAAAAAGATGGGACTTTTAACACGATTTTTTTTGAGACAGAAATGAAACAATTTTTTTGTTAATTATTTTCACTTGCTTCCCGTAAGAAAACAAACAGTCATTAAGCTGCTATGAAACGTTCTGGTCAATACGATCACTGCAGAATTCTTCATTGAGTTTGTTCAAAATAAAAAGACTTAATGTACGGCGAGAGAAATTGCTTTTCCCAAGGCCTGTCGAAGGCGTGTGTTTTACGGCAAAAGTGACCACGTGACCATTATTTTTCGCGCCATTTATTTCGGCTGACTGCGGTTACCGTTTGCCAACAAACCACGCGAAAACAAACGCATTTTAACGCTTACTTCTTTCACCGTTTTATAATTATGGAGCTTATTTCCAGGTTGACTACTCAAGCTTTTACCACGCTAAAAGTGGGTAAGTTGAATGTGTTTAAAAAATGTCAAAAAATTTCTGCGAATGTGATAGTTCGCGTAACGGCAGTATCGCTCAATATTTGCTGCTCGACAAACTACGAGCGATGTTGCAGTTTGTTCGACAAGTAGTAAACAAATTCAACATTTTTTTAAAGATTGACTGTCGTTGTTCAAGAATTTACAGTTTGTTGTACTGAATGGAACCCATCTATATTCTCATTTAACAACGCTGAAAATGGCATGTTTACACAATATTCAACATTTCCTGAACAAGAGTTGCAAAATTTGTACATTGCGAGCAGAGGTTTTAGCATATGAGAAACCTTTGCTTCTTTAAAACAGTCACTCCATAGGAGTTACAACAAAGTATCCTTTTTGTTAACTCACCCATTTGCCCTCTATTCTGCACAATGTTTCCTTGCCCATTTTTATTTTGCCGGCAATACTGTTCGACTCTCCACTCTTCTTCCAAAATGGCTGATAAATGGACAAAAAAGTCTCAATGCACTTTAACAAACGTTAACCAGATCATGAACCCTCGTTTATTAATAGGGGCTCGGCTATCCCACATGCCAAAAATTTCTGTCCTAAATATATCCCGTATTCTGTAAATTCCAATACTATACTTCTCTATAATGCCATTTACTACGGATAGTGATAAATTTGGAAAGGGGTAGTTAATATCTTTCTTTTTAATAAGTAACAGAAGGAATTTATGAATTTATTTTGTATAGCACAATAGCAAGTTCCAGCCGAAAGCACTATAAAATGGTCTGCATCAAAGAGAAAAAAACACTTAGAAATGTGGTTTTTGTTTGGGTCGTATAATGGTTAAAAATTTTTCCCAGCAAATCCTCATTATGTCAATTTAATTCAGAAAGTTATTACAGAACGACAGGAAGACCAAGTTTCATACCTTAAGCTTGAATTCGATTTCAGCCTTGTATCCAGTCTTTTCACAGTTTATGGTGACAACTCCACCCAATTCCATTGTTAGCGTGCCAATCAAAATACCTTAAGAATAAAACGAAAAGCGTGCAAGATGAATTAACAAACAAAGAGTCAGTTGTGTTAACAAACAGAGCACTATTGTTTGAAAGGGAGGGGGAAGGCGGGAATTTCGGGTGTTCGAGAAGCGCGAAAGACGCGCGAGGGGGGGAAGGAACTCCCTATTACCCCCTTCCCTCTCACGCAAAAATTCCTTTCCCCTTCACTCTCAAACGGCTGCCACAAAAAAAGTATTCTGTTTAGCGAACTAACCTTTACAATGTGCATAGGGCATGGTCATCACATACTCTTCTCCAAACCTTAGCAGCGTCATTGTCCCACATCCATCCAAAATGGCTGATGAAGAATTTCCTGTAAAAGAACAGTAAATAAACTCAATAAAGACATCATGAGGAAGAATAATTTCTGAGAAGTGAAATAGGTAAGACCAATTTATGTTACATGAAAAAAATGCTTATATGTAACATAACGTGTTTAAATTCTAATAACCGTTTTGACATGGTAAGAAAGATCGAATAACGAGTATTTTAACCCTCTTTTGAGGTGATATCGCGGAGGCGTGTATGGCCGAGCGGCTAACACGTCGAACTCTGGATCTGGAGGTCCGGGGTTCAAGCCTCGCCCGTCGCGTTGTTTCCTTAGACAGAGGACTTTACTCCACTTTGTCTCTCTTCACCCAGGTGAGTGGGAGGTAACCCTGCGATGGATTAGCATCTCGTCCAGGGGGAGTAGCAATACTCCTAGGCATGCTTCAAGCTACGGAAACCGGTATAAGCTCCGGCCGTCTGGGCCTTTGGCTCGTGTGCGCTTTTACTTTTACCCTTCACGTGATATGCACAGTAACACTGCTGTGAGCATAGTATGACTGAAGATTACCAACGGAAAAACACAAAGCTTACCGTAAAATTTAGACTTGGCCAAACAGGAGCAGTTGACTACATATCCCTCCTGTCTGTTGGACACATAATACGCTGATACTGGAGGATGATGGGAAATCTGTTCAGACACAAAGTATGTCTTTGTGCCATTGGGATGAAGCCAATAGCAGCGAAATGACTCACCAATAATTGGGTTGTAGGGCTTCTTTAAACCCTGGATATAAAATAAAAAGCACAGTTTATTTGTTTGCACAGACTAAGATCATGGAAGGTTATGGATGGACACACATTACTCATTATACTGTTACCATACGGCCTTATAAATTTCTCTACAAACCTTTGGTTTTTTGTAGAATCCCGCCAGATACCACCTCACTACTTCTTTCATCCTGCTGTACGCGTTTTCCTCTCGAGCAGCTCTGTTAAGTACATCATGAAAACAGTTGTTATAAGTCCCACAGTTCTTAATTCAGTTGAGGGTTATAGCACACCAGAGTACAGAGCAAGACAAAACGGAAACAATGGTTCAATTTACTAACCCACAGCTGAGAGGAGCTTGCCCAAGGTAACACATAAGAGAACACTATTTAGACTTTTGGTCAATCCAAACTTGTTTTTACAAAGTATTGTGAACCCAAAGCAAAAGCAAATCGTATTATACTTGGCTCTTTATTGTTTCTCTAAGAACATAGGGTGAAATGTTTGAAATACCAACAAAAAAATATTGGAAAGGAAAAGCATAAACAAAAACAAGTGAATTAAAATGAAAATTGAATGACACTGCATTCGTTCAAATCCCATACACAATTCTGCATTACATTACGACAAACGCTAAAATGTATTTAACAACATTCTCTTTAGTTACCTAGATAAAATGTCAGTATGGAAGTAGAAGTCAGACAGCTTGTCGAGAAATGACCTTGGTTCCAGAATAAAGGTTGGTAAAGTTACCCTAGAGAGGTCCATGCCTGGTTTAACCTGAGAGACAATGAAAAAGGTTCATTGTACATACATGTAAAGCATGGCATTTATGTAGACACCGTAGACTTACAACATTTTCACCAACTTTATACTATCTGCAAAAACCCAATGAAAACTGACAGTGATTTAATAGTCTGTGATCGATTCAACAACTTCAGCTCAATCTTCTTATTGATGCAAAAATTATACTAGGTACTTTAATTGCCATGGACACTCCAACTTTTGACTGGCACTGCTTTTACAGCATCTTAACTCTTTAGACTAATACTTTAATGTAAGCTGACCTGTTTCAGAAGTGCCCAAAGAATACTCTTGTTCTCATCTTCAATCTCCTCCAAAGCTTCACCAGCCTAAAAATGATTGGTCAATAAGTTCTTGAAATGGATTCAACTGGAATAGCTAAAGAACACTAAAATTACAATCAGAGCAGGATTCAGTGAAGCTTATCTTTTAACAACTGACCCCTGAGGTAAACACTCCAGTGTCAGTCAAGAACATTCATTTTTTGGTCACCCCAAAGTTAAACCATTATCCCTAAACAGCTAGTACTAAACAACTTTCAACTAAAAACCTTTCTCTTTTAGACAGTTCCACTGAAAAACATAGAGCTTGATAGAATTCATTTAAAAGGTAAAACTAAAGGTTTATGATGTGCACTTACTGTATTTACTCAAATCAGTACCGCAGCAATTATTAAATTTTACATGCCTCAATTATTGTGGCACTAATTTGAGGGCGGTACTTATTTGAGGGTGGCATTTATTTGAAAGTTGAATGCAACAAAGAATTGTATTAACTACAGTATTATTTTTTTCCAAATAAAACTAACAGAATTAATGTCTTTTGATTTTGATTTATATCAGGGAGGCAACACTTATTGCAGGGTGGTGCTTAATCGGATGTGGCGCTCATTCCAGTTACAAAATGTGGTATACACAAGTAAGAAAATAAAATATTTCTAGGTTAAATGTAATTTGGTATCTCAAAATATGACAAATAATAATAATATCAATGGAGTAATATAATTTACCTGTCCTAAGTACTCCTCTCCTTTTTCCGTCACATAAACTGTTTCTACAATTGGCCCATCATCAATCTCTTCATTAGCATCTGCAATAAATGCAATACATCATCTTAATTCAATAATAATAAACAATGAATAAAATAATAATCATCATCACCCTAAACAACTAAATTCAAAATAATCAGATGCAGCTTGATATGAAAACCACAATTTTTTTCTTTAAACTAAGATTGAATTGCCAGCCCTCTGGCAATTTTTTTACTATTTTTGCACTGGCATGCATTTCTGGACATAAGTGACTAGGATGTACAACAACAGTTATGTCTTGATCTGATCTACCCACCTTTTTCAAGGGGACCTAAAGTGTCATCTAATTCATTATCAGAGTCAGACTTGTCCTAAAAACAGTCAACAAGAAAGCAAGAAAATACCAGAGTAAGACTTCGTAATCTCATGGTTAACCATGTTTTTGGTCAACTTACTTTGTTTAAAAAATAAATTATGTGAACTAACCATTCCATCATTGCTGTCTTCATCACGATCTGAGAATAAAGAAAGAAACAAGAGGTGTTAAACATTACCAGGCAACATAACGGTGAAATGACAAAAAAATGGATACAAGTGGAAAGTAAAAACACAACAAGAGAAAAGTAAAGTAATATTTTATCAATCAAACATTTCAATATTAACAGCTCATACAAGCAGACATCCCTTACAAAAACCTCTGCACAACATTTAATGCTGTCTGGTACATTGCATGTAAGTACTAGGGAAAGGTTAAGCAGGCTTTTCTGTTAGTCAAGCCAGCTTTTTTACTCAACTGCACCTTCAAAATTACCCCACGTCTTTGTTTTCCTTGGCAGTTTATTTGAACTGGTGGTAGGTTCTTTTTCAGCCGGTGATATTATAGCCAGCAGCCAGCTCTTAGGGACATCCTAGAGTACATAAATGACTAAATGGAAACTTATTATCATTATTAGCTGTTTTACCAGGAAGCCCGTGTTCATCATCCCTGTCCTCTTTGTCATCTTTGCCATACAGTTCACTCAACCTGCCATTGATCATCATTATCATTAACGCTGTTATTACAGGGTATGATCAAGAGTGAATCCTAGTGTGTTAGTGTGAATTTCTTCTAAGTTATTTCAAGAGGTTGTAATTTTTTATAAACGGAAGTCTTATTCATTGGACATCCACTCAATTTAATTGATTGTTTGAAATGTCACTGTGCGACTGGCTCAAAGCAAACAATACAGAATATTGTTATGGTGACACACCAAGAGAGCATAATGTCCCAATTTTCTCCGTTGACAATACTGAATAACAGGTTACAGACCTCTCAGGACACCAACTTCTAATTGAGTTCAATCAATCAGTATATTGGTCTAAAAATAACTTTGGTGAAATTCACATCAGTCCCAAGGGCTACACCAGGCATTTCCCTCTCTGTGGCATTATTCTCTCTTGGCATGATCTATTCATTGTTATTCATCTGTGCATGTACATGTAATGGGCATCTTAGTAATGGACATAATGTACATGTACATCAACAGTCTCACTTGCACCTATTGTTATTAATAATAATGGAGTTCAATGTCTTGATGTGGATTTCACAATGACGGCATCTCAATGATTATGAAGCGACAAAGTTTATACAGTTTTCAGTGCTACTTTCCAGTCGGGGAGATTGCAAATTATTTGTATTTTATAAAAATTTCAGTATTTATTTTGTGAATTCTTACTCAAAAATTATCTGTCGATGTTTTATTAACGTGAGCTGTAGCCACTACAATTTTTAAGGAAACACTATGGTACTCTTCTTAAGTAGTTCAAGGAGGGAGCTTTTCTAAGATACTTTTTACAAAACTGAAAAATAAAAGTTCAAAGAACCCCTTGATCCCAAACAAAATACACACAGTATAAATTGTTAATAACACTGTCAAACTGGCCAACAACAATTCTGACTGTTTGGTTTCTGTTGTTGATCAGATCCCTCATACTTTTGTTAGCTGTGTTACAGTAACAATAATTTTAAGGCATGTTTGATAGTGTTTGACTGCGACACTTTTCATAAAGAAATAGGCAACTGAGGTAAATGTGGGTTTTACTCTGATTGCAGTGCAAACAACTTTATGCATGCCATCTGATTAGCACCCTAGCATACACTTACATTCCTTTGTTTTCCTTTTGAATGCTGTAACCCTGGTTTTGAGCAACTTCTAAAGCATCCAACCAACAGTGTCCTGTAATGATAAAAATCAAGTTTGATTTAACAGAATAACATGGTAAAAGAATGAAAGATTGTACACAAACATTAAGCTTGATCACACAATAAGTTCTTCACAGGAGAACAAGCTAATGGAGTAAATAAGGGTAGAAAAAAGCTAAGCAGATGGGGAGAGGGAAAAGGGAAGAAACTAAGAGAGGGAGTAGTGGAGAGGGAGTAGTGGTGGAATGGTAGCTATAAATAAGGCATACATATCACCTACAAAGGAAAGGGTCACAACACAGCACAGATGCTATAGGGAACTAGTTGGGGTGCCTTTCTCAAACCTACAGGTATAATACATTGGAATAATTGTATACATCCCACTCTTTATAGCGGAACTAAGTTGCTGAGGTTCCTTCTTATCTTGTGCCATGAAATACAAAAAAGGGGGAGTGTGGTGAGGGGATTCTTCTTGGACTGCTCGCTAACCTCAACAGGAGCCATAAAGAGTGAACAATTCCCATACTAGGCCTAAGTGACAGCATTTTTACAGACTTGCTTATTTTTAGACATATTTTAGGGCACTTTTTTCCACAAATGGAATCTCTGCCATGCTTATGAGTGCATTTGAAGTATAAGATATCAAGGTCTAGCTGTAGGTTTTGCTGACTGGTTTTCGCACCAAAACCATTCTAAAAATAAACTGGTCCGTGGAAATGCTGTAAAATGAGCACATGGAAGTTACTTGCCCCTGGTTATTTGCTCCTGCCTTGACCACAAAATGTACTTACCGTCAGATTCTGAGTCTGCTCTCAAGATTAGATGATCCTTAGGTAGGGGCTGTGTGATGGACCCAGCCATCTCTCCTTTGGGACCCTTTGTAGCCCAGATGTAGTGCTCCAGGGGATGGTAGATCTTGAAGCAAAACCCTTCTTTCTTAGAAGGGCGCTCTAAAATCTCACAGCCATTCAAGAGAACAGTGCCAACCCACTGCCCATGCTGTGCAAGAAATGATAGTTCACAATGTTTGTTACTATCTATTTAGCAAAAAAAGTGCAGACTGCAAGTGGCTCAACAGTTTTTGTTAAACTCCCTTTTTAACCAACATGTGTCAAAATTAACCCTTTCACTGCCAAATGTGACCAAAGGCAAATTTCGAGCAAATTTCCAAATTTCATGTTCTAAAATTTTGACAAACAAATAGCATCATGTGTAAGTACAGGCAGAGAGCATTCATTTGAATGGTCACATCATAGGATTTCATCCACAGACTTAAAAGTTAGAGTCACCAGTACAAAACTCTATCAAACACTCTTGCAGTGAAAGGGTTAATAATAATGGACTACAAATGTGTTTTTGAGTGGAGAACTGGGGCTGTTGGTTAATGGTACAATATTAACAGTTTGGATAACAAAACGGTCTACAGGTTGAAAAACAAGCACAGAATGTTTTCACCCAAAGAATCTTATTGAGTGTGCTTATCCAATAAACTGTATACATTGTAGTTCAAATACCTTGGCACTCTTGTATATAAGCAGCATTCCAGGCTTTATCACACACCAGAACTTTGCCCAGCCCTTCAATGTTCCACGCACCTGAAACACACAAGATTTTATCTGATAACTGTAAAAGCCACCACCCCATTGATACCCTCCTGTAATGCAGACACCTCCCTAAGATGGACCTGCTGGTCCTAAAGCTAAAAAGTGTCTACAGGTCGTGGAAAGAGTAAATTGAATCAGTGGCTTAAGAACAAAAATTAAAAGAAGTGAAAAAACAAATATATAAATAGTAGTCAAATACTGACGTACAAAAGTTATGATACCATCTCATTCCTCAAGAAAAATTAAAACTTTTCATTACACAGACCTGTTAAATTAACTTAATTGATGCATCTAATCTTCTTAAGCATCAGTTCTTTCTCACCTTTAGCCATGACGAAAGAATAATGACTGAGGGATCTTTCAGTGCACTAGATAATTCTTTTATCCTTCTTTTCTGTTCTCGCCTGTAGCTCTCTTTCATTGCCTACTCAAGCATAAATGTAATGAAAACTGATCAGTTCAAAAGCATTTCCTGCAATGTTTACATACTTTTTATCTTTGCACAGGGTGCAAAGAAAATCATTTTTACAGCTTGCCATTCAGGCAAGCTGAAGCTAACATTTACTAGCCCAGACGTCATTTCAACTAGCCCCGAAACCTTTTGTTCTTCTGTTATTCAAATTCCCCATAAAACATCACTTGCCCGCATTAAAGACAAATTCACTAAAAAATCCATTCTTCGGACACAAATATCAGATGGTTTATGATCATAAAATGATCAGGGATTTAACTTAACTAAATCTGTGGTTGACTTCACTGCCCAAGGTGTCACTTGTGAAGTGATCCAATCTAAATTTACTCATAGTTACCATCTTGGTGTTAGAGCCTATGCAAGACTTCCCCAGGAGTGTATCCAAGATGTTTTCTAAGGTTCAGGGTTGTCACTAAGATTTTAAGTTGCCGGGTAAATACAACAAGTAGGCGGGGAATCAAACGGCTAGGGATTTCTTTTGGTTCTATTTTTCTTTTATTTTCCAATAAAAGTAGCCGGGGGCCTCTCTCTTAGTAGCTGGGGAAAATCCCCGGCCCCCGGCTCTTAATGACAACCCTGAAGGTTGCTCAAATCCCTAACTTTTGCAGTGGCAAGGCTGCTGCCTAACGGGCGCCTGGTCGCCAGAGGCGCCCACGATTTGCCCTTGGGGGCCAAAATTTCAAACTACGAGCCTGAACAGGCGTTTAAAACTTATAATTCTCGGGCCAACTTTCTGGTGAATGAATGAAAAAGTTCCCGGCTCATTATGTACTTTTGAAATGAACACGTAAAACGTGACTTCCGCTGCAGCTGAAGTTTCTTATCTAAAAAACTTCTGCTGAAAGACTTACACACACATTGATTCATTGATCTTGAAATGTCACCCAGTGTCTTTGATGAAAAACTCTGATAACTGACAGCTCTGCTAAATGATCTGAAATGACCCCTTTAATCTAAATCAATACTGTTCGGTTGCAATCTGAAGAACTAGTACCTCTGCATGTACAATTTGCTCTAGACAGAAACATTTTAACATAGTTATAAAATAGTCACTAATAAAAATATTTGTACCTTGAAAGATTCCTTGGAAGCCTTTCTTGGAATGGAAGGTGAACGCTCTGGCAACAAGAGTTTCCTCTCAAGGTCCTGCTATTTAAATAATTATCATACCTATTAATTAAGTTGAGACCTCTTCAAATATTCATATACTACATTTATCTGGGGTTACACTAATTTTATCAACTTCCGTGACCACTTAATTTCCATCTACTTAATTTCATCGAATGTATTTGCATCATTTTAAAACTCAACACTGTCTGCTTGCAATTTTAATCAATTTACTGGCTTAGTCCAAGGACGAATGTGGTCAAAACTGATGAAAACTTAATGTTATTTAATTACATGCTTCAGGACTAGGCCAAATATACCCCATAAAAACAAGTATTTATAATGCTTACAAAACTTTTTCACAGCTCAAAGGCAATGCTTATTTAAGGATAGCACTTTTAATTTAATGGTATATTAATTTTTTATATCAGTATGAAAAAGTTTCAGTAACTTAGTACAGAGGTGCATCTGGCAGGTGTTTTTTTACAGGTCACATTCCACAGGTCAGAATACAGGTCACTGTGCTACAGATTTTAAACAACACCAGAAGTGTCTCCTAGCCCTAATCCTTATCCAAAATGTTGTTTTTGATCAAGGGGAAATTAAGCCATCCCAAAAAAATGTTTCGTTTCCCATCGCCCTCCCTCTCGTGAAGGTGGGTCGGTTGGTCGGTCTGGCAAAAAAAAAAAAAGAATGAACACATGATTGCATATCAAATCTCACGTTTAGTCTGCAAGATATAATCAGATGGTAAAAGATGTATATTAACCCATTCGCTCCTGGAGATTTTGCCAAAAAACGCGTTTTGAAGCTAGTCGAGTGGTTTTCTGGTCACTGTCGTGCTATAAAGAGCTAAAACTTACCACAAACCGGTTTACAGGTCGTACACTTGGCGGCCTTCTGATCTAGATGTAAAATATCAGCTTGCGAAGTTCGGGCAGGCGCAGAAAGCAAAATTTCGACATAGTTTTTGGGTTTAAAAGTGACACAGCAGTCTTGACTTTTACTTTTCGCTTTCTCTCCTCCCTTCTTTTTTCGCTTTTCTTGCCTCATTTTTTTTTTCTCTTGCTGGGCATTTAGTAGGCTTCATTTTGGTGGGAAGAGTTTTTAGGAAAGCTTTTAGGATCTTAGGATTAGGTGAAAGGAAAGGTAGGTGGGTAATGGAACAAGATTTTCATGGAGATTTTCAGGTCCTTGTCACGTGGTTTTTTGCTTCTTTCTCCGGTGTCCTTGACTGAATTGTGCTCATTCTGGTATGGTTTGAAAGATCTCTTCACTCTGCACAAGTTAGCGAAGAAAGTTGTCCTTGACCGTTAAAACTGATGACGTCACAAAGGGTAGAAAGGACCTGGATCCGCACGGGCGGTTACGGGCGGTTCAGGGGCGAATGGGTTAACAGGAATATCAAATGTCTAAAAAGGCTACAAAAACGAAGTATCAATGATAATTTAAGAAATTGGTGTTAATAAGACAAGATCATGTGCTTGTAAATTAAAGTACTTGCTTCTTTACAAGTGATTCTGGAATTTTTGTTTTTTTTACTTTTCCAAAAAAATGGGTCAGTCAGGTGATGGGAAACGAAGCATTAAATTGGCCTTACTTGGTTTACTTAACTATCAATAAAACAGCGACCTGTAATAATGTAACCTGTGGAATCTGACCTGTAAAAGAAACCTCTCCAAGTGCATCAGGTATGGCACTTATTTGGGGAATGTGCTCATAAATGATTTGTCCCAAATACAGCTGGGATGAAGCTTCACTGGGGGTAGCACATATTTGGAGAAAACATCGTACAATGTAGGAAGCCTAAAAAGTGACACATCACGTCTAACAACCATGACCACCTTTAGGACCGGGCAGAAGTTGGTGAGCAATGAAAAGAGAAACAAATGTCGCCATTGTAGAGAAAGATGTTTCTTAAAGCCAACAGACAAGTGTACTTACCAGTCTTTCCCTTTCTTTATCTTTTCTGTCTTGTTTAACAGGTGGTGTTGAATTTCTCGAGCTTGGGCCATCAAATTTGAAATTAAGCTCTGAGTCATCTTGAACTAAACACAAGCCACAATATAGGATCAAAAACAATGACATGATACAGGTGTCACTGTTGGAGTTTATATAAAGGAAGATGTATACCATTTGATATGTATCAAAGCCTATAGGCAGAGTGCTCAATAGAAGACCTAGAGCGTTATAATCCAGGTGATCTGATATCAATGTAAGATCCCAGTTGGCATTTTATTACTAGTTAGTTTTGTACTGCACATGGCATGTGTGGCACTCCTCAGATAAAATTGCCACATGAAAAGTTTGTTACAACATACGCTTATACTACACATGTGCTCGCAGAATTTCAATCGGAAACTATTGCTTGAAAACAGAAGATGTAAAGCTGCTAAGAAGAAATTTGCGTGCATGCCTGCAGGAAGTTACAAGCTCATTTCACTTGTTCAAGCAAAGTTCTCAGTAAGCCTACATAGGTCTCGGCTGGCCTGTTGTCCTCCGTTGTCAATGTGGCTTGGTAGACATTTATCAACAACCCATAAATGGACAGAAGAACAAAAAACCAGGGCTGTTTTTACAGGGCTTCAGTGAAGGAATTTTTTTAGCATCACATGTCAAACTTATGTGGGGCCTTTTCCCTTTTAATGTGCTTGATGCTAACAAGTTTGCATTCAACTAAGAGGATTTTACCTGAAAAAATGGGCAAAACCACTGTCCAAGAAAAAAAACAGTCTACTTCCAATAGACATGCGTTGCTAAAAAATGTCCTTTTTTAAGCTCTCTATTTTGTAATTCCAAACTGCTATTATGTCTGGAAACTACAATAAAAACGGCTCGCTTTCTTGAGGAGCCTGATCAAGTTGCTTTAAATTAAGTTCATTCAGACAGACCTGCTTAATAACTAAAAAAATAAAACGTCATAGTGAATTTTTATACATGTATGTTACAGATCATCCCCTAATATTCACAAGCCAGCTAACACTTTATACACTTTTATCTAAATTGTAGATCTTTGCAGCAAAAATTAATTATTTACCACTTCTTGATTTTATTTTATTACAGAAACAAAAACAAAAATTTACCTTTGATTTGAAAATTATTTCCCAAAGCTTTTGAACAGTTTCTAAGAGTCCATCAAGCGTGAGAATTGTATTATGGATGTGTGTGCGCTAAGGCAATACACAGTAATATGACATCTGATATCCTACAGTAGTGTCAATTATTCCTTTCAAATAGCAGCTGTCAAATATGAAAGCTTTTTGCACTGCTTTTTACTCAGTATTATTGTAAATATAAAGCATCACATCTGTAATCACAGCAGTCCGATCCTCAGCCTTAATAAACTATATATTCACAATAGTTTATATCACTGGCCAAATGGTTTGGTCACTTTTGTTCAACACTGAATTCAAGACACCCTGAAATGTTTAATGATTGCAATTTCAACACCTGGCACACTGAAAATGGCTCACAGCAAAGGTGTACCAAAATTACCGTGGCTTCACATAAATCAGAAATATCGCCTAACTGATATGAGAAATGAGAATAAAATTGTAGAGTGAAAACAATAATAATTTTAAATCCACAGAAAATCAATTTCACTGTACTCATTTGTTTCATTGATATTAGTGTGGCAAATATTGGAAGAAAAAAAAGCAAATAAGTATATAATAAACCATATGGTAAATTAAAAGTTGTATTATTTTCTTGAACATATCTAAGTATATTCTGACTTACGTGTATAATACTGTGAGAAGACTTATGTACATAATTTTATGGTGAATATTATGACATATTTTCATATTCAATATTTGAGGCAAACAGTATGTGTCTTGGACAGCTTGAACTATTGTAGCTTATTTTGCAAAAAAGTTTTATTTGGAATTTACAATGAATGAGTACTATTTTAATCAACATTTAACATTTCAGTTTAAATGAAAAGAATGATAATTCCATACCTTGTTTTCTTGCTTTTGTTTTAGTTTTCTTTGCTGCCATAACTTACGTTAAACCTGTACAAGCTCTGTCAGGAAATTATTGATTTGCACTCACAGAATTAATTTCCATGTGTTATAGAAAGACCTTATTTTTCTGTCAGAAATGTTCCCTCGAACAATCAAATCCTTGCTGAACATAAGTAAAGAACTTTGAATAAGCTGAAATTGAAGCACACTGTAATTCCATCTAAGCTTTATGGTAAAAAGAAGCCAATCAAAATGACAAACAATGAGAAAAGGATAAAATCTTCCTGAATACATTAATGGCTTTATTGCCAAATGTAACCCTACACCAGCAATTATTATGTGTTATAATCAGACTATAATATTTAATTTTTAGAAAATGAAGATAATACTTAGTGCAAAAACATTAAAAAGACAGCAAAAAAGGGAAGAAAATGCAATTTTATACAAAATTTTACGACAACATCTGTTTTAAAACTTAGACATTTTGACTCGATCCATTTGAATCTTCGTAGACAGTGTATATTCATGATCTTTTCTTTTTTTGCTTCTTTCCTCAGTTATCAGTTGCCAGGAATGCAAAATAGCAAGAAACGTTAATTAAAGTTGTTTTTTTAAAAAATAAACTTTAAATGCTCGCTCTAAATCTCTTCACACTTAGCTGATTTAAATTATCAAGTAATTTACTTTGTTGATAAGAACAACCATTTAGTGGTTTACTCCTAAACCAGGGCTACCACTACGATTTCAAGTTGCTGGGTATCTGTAATTAGTAAGTGGGGAATCAAACATCTAGGAAGTTCCTTTTTTATTTTTTAGTTCTATTTTTCTTTTGTTTCCTATGCATAAAAGTAGCAGGGGGTCATGCTCATAGACGCCAACCTTAACCTTACGTAGTGACAGCTTGCCCTGCTAAACCATTACAGTGTATTTGCCACCAAAAATTTAGACAGTGATTGCTTTTGGCCACATTTTAAAGTAAGGAAGGCACAGGTGAAATGAGCAGACATGAGTTGCAATATGCGTAAACCTTCCAAGTACCAATGATAGCCACAAAACCCTTTAAGGGGGTTTGGAAGCATTCCTACTTCCTTCACCCCCACCATGAGGAATTTTTTAAATTGGACTGTCTAAAAACATACTTCCTGCCTTGGCTGGAACAGAAGTGCAGGGGGTACCCGGGAAGACCACCAAAAATTAAATACTTGTATTAGCAATGCTTACGATAAACTGGTTACTGTGAGTTTCTATAAAGAAAACAATTAATATCATTAAAAGTTCTTACCTTTTGGAGAATTTCGACCCTCATCTTCATTGTTGGACTTGCGTGACAAATTTCCTAGAAGAAGGGCAGTATCAGCTGTAAAGAAAATATAATGTAATTTTAAAATATCTTATTTTGCAGAGGTCTTCAGCCGGGCTTATTACAAAGAGGTTACTCCAACCAGTCTCAAGAGCTTCCATCCGACTAGCTCAATTGAATAAGCCCTGGTCTACGCAGGAGACCACTAGTTAAACCCTGACCAGACCAACACTTGGGATCTCTAAATAACTGCAGAAAAAGTGCTGGCTTTGTAATGACATCTGCGAATGGGTTGGACTTTCTCGTCTTCTCAGATAAGGACGAAAACCGGTAAGTCTTGTCTCAAACCCTTGCTCATAAAATAAATTATGTGGGCACGTAGAGTGGGGGTTCATTAGGCAGCCGACTACGCGATGCAGTGGTTTATTATTTTGGGAAGTATACACTGTTTACCAGCTTTAGTGCATGTTAGCTACTCCTAACCTAGAGACAGGGCTTCTGATATTTCGCGCGGTCGCGGACCCGCAAAATTCAGGTATTTCCGCGAAATCCCGCGAAATTCCCAAAAAAACGCGAAATACCGCGAAATCTGCCAGAAATATTTCCAAATACATATCGGCAAAACATATTTAATACTTATCTTGGCTATTAGACCGGTTTTATTCACCCTAAACGTCCAAATTTAGCTTGAAACTTCGTCACTGCAACGAGTAAACAAAGTCCCAAAACTACCAGGCGTTTTTAGATGAACGTTGCGAAAAACTGGGCACTAACCATAATGTTAATTGCTTTAACATTTCGCTCATTTCTCGAGCGAACTGATGTTGAAAGAGCAAATGATCATCCCTGCTACAAAAACGTTCACCGACGCTGGTCATATCGACGCAAAATTGATCGATTTTAGCCAAATTTGCCAAAAAAATCCCAGCGAAATTGGCTGTTTTTTACTGATTGTTTCTTGGCGAAGTTTCCCCCCGAAATTTCCCGTGAAATCGGCCGATTTTCCTAAGAATTTGCCCCTGAAAATCCTTCGAAAATTGACTTTTTTCCGCTAAAATCCCGCGAAATGGGCCAATTTTTCTCGAATTTTGACTTCTCTCCCTTGAAAATCGCCCGAAGTCGGCCGATTGTGCCGCGAATTTTGACTTTTTTCCCGCAAAAATCCCGCGAAATCGGCCGATTTTTCCGCGAATTTGCCCCTGAAAATCCTGCGAAATTTTGTTTTTTTTTCCGCGAAATATCAGAAGCCCTGTAGAGATAACCTTTGGAAGTAAGAAACAACTGGGATTATTTTTAACTAGGACATTAACGAACCCCATCCCTCTGCCACTAAAAGCATAACACGACAGTTGCAACATGTTAAAGCTTTTCCTGTGGGGACCGTGGGAGGGCACTGTTTCTGCAGCTCCCACACAGCTGGCTAACAACATCATCAATATTATTTAAGTCAATCACACCTGTAATTTAACCCTATTTTTAAAGAAACGACCCCATTTTTGGTTAGAAACTGTTCATGGTTTTGACATCTGACAGTCATCTTGTTTCAAACAGGCACTTAAGGTGCCAGGAGTCTTAAATAGGCTTCTGTGGGCATTAATAATTAACACATACAAGCAGCGTGTAAAGAAAGTACTGTCCGATAGCCCGGGGCTAGTGGATTTTGCTATCGGGCTAGTGAATTCTGTTTTAAACTTGCCCAACAGGCAAGTGATGTTTTATGAGGAATTTGAATAACAGAAGAACAAAACGTTTTGGAGGCTAGTTGAAATGACGTCTGGGCTAGTAAATGCTAGCTTCAGCTTGCCCGAAGGGCAAGCTGTAAAAATGATTTTCTTTGCACCCTGACAGGCTACTTTTCTTTGAGAACAACTTGATAAAATGTTGCCTTCAACTTTAGCATTATTTTGGTTGGCATGTTTTCACCAGCTTCTGAAAACACCCTCTGAATTACACACACAATGAAATACTGGCTGTTTCTAGAGAAACTGTTATGAGGAGAGTGAAGTCACTTAACTTTGATAGTGCCAAAGCAACATTATAAAAGAATGATAAACAAAATTGTTCAGTACGAATGTTGCTAAGGTGTGTAACATTACAACAAACATAGAGAGATTGGTTGAGAAGAAAATGAAAGGCAAATTAAAATTAAAGTTTGGTACACCTCAAGATTTTATCATGAGCTTGTTTTAATGCAAATTTTAGCACCTTATGTGGTTATTAAACCAGCAGGATGCCAGTGTTGTAGTGAATCAAATGGATCTGTACAAAACTACCTGCCTTACATAATCACAGCCAAACTATAAAATGGATTTATCAGTGAATAGAATAATTTAAGCATGTCAATAATTTGCGACAAAATCTTACACATTTTAACCAGGATAATATTTGATCTAATACAATACATTATTGTGCTCATAATAATGTTTTCACAACATTTTTACAGTTTCCAAATCCTGGAGGCAAACTGTTTCCAGGTTATTAAAGATAGATGATATGAACTAAATATTCCCTCAACACACAAATCTCTACTGATATGCCACTTATGTAGCTCTATTGAGACACCAACTTCATTTCAATAAGACATTATCACATGTCTTTCTCTTTAAAATACTACAGCAGTTATGTATATTTTTAACTTCAAATGCCCCTGTGGGATGAGTTTCGTTGAAGACTGTTGTTAAATATAGACTAACTATACGCACAGAAGCTCACAAAAAATATGAGATTGAGGTGACCAAATTACTGGATTACAATCAAGTTAAATTTCTGGATTGATACTAAAGAGAAATGTCACCTGGCATGGAAGTGTGCCAATGTGTAAAAGCTTATCATGTTCCATTCCTTTAAAAATTTTTATAAACTGAATTTATATAGCTTGTCAAAAAAATAACCAGCAGACCCCGCCAAACAAAGTCCTACTTATTTTGTATCATACAGAGAACATCTGACTTTCAAGCAAATATTCCAAGATCAAGGGAAATACTTAGAAAAACGCTTAAGCTGACAGAATTGGATACAAGATGTCGATTTCGACTAAACTGCGAGACATGACTTACCTAAGGAAAAAGAACGGAATTTTTTTCGTTTGGGGCTACTCTTAACACGTTTTCCTTCCCCAATATCTTCCTTGGGCTCCGAATGTCCGTTACCTGACATAGTTCACTTTAGAATATGGTAAGATACGTCGCTACAGAACCGTAGAAATGTCCATGCCCAAGAACGATTCAAAACCACCCAAGGTGTCCACGGGATGTTTAAAAAATACGGAATCTCACATCTCACAAATAATTCATCTCCTTCTAAGACAGAACTTGCAGACAAGTTATTAGCAATTTGGAATGCAAATAAGCCAATACTTGTTTCTGTAGAACCCACAAAGCAGAATGAAACTTCGTTCTAAACAATATCGAAATATATTTATTTTTTGTCTTAAAGAGTCCAAACCCTTGCCGTATGCAAATCACACAGGAACGCTCCGGAAGAGATTTCAATATTTTTAACGCGCAACAACGATTCAGGTTTAACATAGCTGTAAATAGAATGACCACAAACTCATGTTTATTTTTGTTGGGGCCTGGAAAAACAACAAATCAGACGAGACAAACGCTTTTATGTTAATTACAAGCTGGGATTGCAAAATCACATCTAATGTAAACATTGCTGAAGAACCGGCGTTTCTAATTTAGGTCTACAAAAAGTAAATGCATTAGTGATCGCATATTTCTTTAAGTGATTTGTTTTAACGTAAAATGTAAGTTAAAAAATATTCATTACACAGGTACCAGGCAAAAAAGCAAAAACCTAGCTATCAACAAAATAACCATTCAGTTTATTCACAAAAAGTTTATCTGCTTTAGGTGCATTTTAATTTGATGAAGCAGTCTGCTTAAGGTCCTTGCCCCAAAACAATAGAAATTTTTAAAAACAAGTCGAAGGACCGTTCTGATTTTTTATGCAAGGTGAACACAAAATCGAAAAAGCAAGCGTTGTTAAATTGACTTTAACAAGTCTGCCATCACTCTAGATAATTCAACCTGTCGATGATCACTGTGGTAAATGCGTTGAGCACTATCGTTCCGGAATTGAATTCCCAAAGGATTACAAAACAACAATAAAAAACTAAAATACCTTTCTCCTCGTTCTTTCGTACACTCATTTCCGAGTATATCCCATAAAGGAGGTCAAGCTCGCCAAAAAGTTACAGACGGAAAGCAACCGAGACCTTTTCAATATGGCGGCCGGTTGAATCAAACGGCACTCGGCAGAATTTTGACGTCAATTTCCGTCAGATTAAACATTGACATTCATTGACATTCATTCAATGACGCATTTTGCATATTTTAAAAGTACGATTGATCTCCAAAGTGCCGAAAAATATACACGGTTTAAATTTTTAACGTCGTTTTGACACTCTGGCTAGCTGAGAAGTGCTCTGCAAGTCTGTCAGCCCCAAAGAAAATTCCGGTGGATATTTCCGAAGAGGCCCTCAACACAATGACGATATTTCCGGTAACGACTTGATTCCGGTTTGAAGTCGAATCGTCTCGTGTTTCGCAAAAAATTGATTCTTTAAAAAATGGAAATCAGTCAGTCAGGTGTTCGTATTGAAAAACAGCTTGGCATATATGTTAGGTTATGTAAACTTTAAGTCAAATTATTAAAGACTTAAATTTTCCTAACCAGGGTGAATCGGGTAAAAGCCGGCAGCCGACTGATGTTCGATTTCGTCCTCATCGCTTTCAGAGGTGTCACTCTAAAAAAAGACATAGAGAAAAAGATTGTCGTTATTTGATACAAGTAAATACTTGATGTCTGGATACCTAAAAACTATCAATATTTCGCTACGTAAACCAAGAAAGCCGCAGTATTAAAATGAATCAACATGAAGAATTCATCAACACATTGTTTTGGTAACCAACCTCATAGCCACTGTAACTATCCTTAATCTTAGCAGCTGGCTTCTCCGCGGCTTCATCAATAAAAAGAAATGGGTCTTCATTCGATACAATCGTCGGAGAAAAAACCGACGGGTTCGCCTTCTGCATCCTTTAGAGTCCTAATACCGCTCGGTAAATAAACGCAAGCACATGTAAATTTGTTACCACAAATCCCGGGAGTGTTAACTATCGAATACTGATTAGCAACGATCGAACCACGTTGTCGACTCTCGGGGGTAGTGATCGTATTAAAAAAAAAAAAGCTTCAAGCAAACCATTGGGCTTTAAAGAAACAAACATTTCCTTAAATACGCTTTGTATGAGTAAATGAATAAAGTAAAGTGTTTATAAACAAAGAGAAAAGTAGATGACAGATAATTTGGAACCTTGCCAGACTTCTTTATAGAAACGTTTTAGAGCAATAAAGGCAAAAATTAATTGATTGTTGGTGAATGATTAGAATTAAACTGTCAGTTACCGTTGAAAAACACACAGCTGAACACAGTTAAGCCCGACTAAAATTTTTCAACGGCACACGTTAAAATCCCTAGTCTGTTCTGAAATGCAAGCTGGGAGTTTTTTTGTATGCAAGACCCTGGAGAAGGAAGGCCGTGCCGTCCGAAATGTTGGTAACAAAAAATATATATATTCCCGACTATAAAATCAGCCTTGCTTCTTTTCGTGGCTCAGGTATTTTAATTTATAGCTGGTTAGATCCTTTATTAGGATTCTGTGCCTTGGTCCTTCCTTCCAAAATTGGATACTGGGACACTTCGGACTACCACCCACCCCGGCCCTGCTGCAAGCACAGGCTAACCAGGCTGCTAGTAGTCTTAAACCCCTTAGAATTGAACACTGTAGTCCCACGTAACGGGATCAGGCAAATAACAAGAAAAAGTTGTATGACGTAACAGTCTCTTTTAAAGCAGGTTTGAGTAGAGTCCAACTTTCCTAAGTGGAAGATCTTGGGCCGGGCCAGAAAACACTGTCATACCTTAAAAGTCCCTATGAGTGACCACGCCTAGAGCTTCGCCTATTGAACCACCTGTGACGTCAGTCGCACCGCACAACTCTAAGCTGCATAAGGGTAACTAAGTACACTAAGCCCCGCTTTAACGGACACCTGCAAAATACGGACAGTTTACTTTGTCCCTGGGGAAAGAAAGCCCTTACACTTTCTCCATATTCAACCCGTTTAATACGGACACCCTGTTAATACGGACACTTTCTATGGCCCCTTCCGGTGTCCGTATAAATGGGGAACTAGCAATTTTCATCGAACGAATCACAATCTAGAGAACAAGGGCAGGTGCCGACAATTGTCATCAATACCAATGAAATCAGTGGACTCAGCGTTCTAACTACACTTTGCATTATTCAGTGACATGCAAGAGCCACCTTAGCGAAAAACTAAGGCAATCTACTTAGTAAAAATGCATGACGCGAGAACAAAAATTATTTATTACGAACAGTATTCGTTGTAAACAGTTGAGACTTGACTATACTTTTCAAACTTTTGTACTTAAAATAAGGAGTCTCAGTATGTGCTAAACGAAATTCATGAGTACCAAGAGGACTTAGTGTTGGGCCAACTACTGGAATGAAATGCTTGGTCGCCGACTCTTTTGACAGTTTTTCCGGTAGTGTTTCAGGAAAACCCAGCAGAATGCTGTTACATCGATGTTACTTGAGTCAGCCCCAAATCAAGAGTGTAAGGTAGTTTGAATACAGTTCAGTATAAATTGAATGTTCCCAACAAACTCGTGACTGAGGGTAAAATGACAAAAGAAGGTCTCTTAATTTAGTTACCTGAGCCTGACAGTAATGATTGAGGGTTTATCTTATCGTATATGAGTTTTTTATTTCAGGCATATTGCTTTTATTACTCTCGTTTTTTTAATTTCATAATACTTCAAGTTTTTTCATTGTACCAGAAAAAAAAAAATGAAAACAAATCTCAGAATGAGGAGAGAAAGTCACAGCTAGCCGACACAGTATTGATTTGCAAGTCTAATTATCAGTCAGTTTTAGAAATGACGGGGCTTGTTAGGTCTTGCATGGACTCTGGAGCTATTAATAGTGCGATAATTTACCGAGCAGACTACTTTTCAAATGTGCTCTTTTTCCTTCATCATGCATGATAATCAGTTGATAGTTAGAGTTCAAAGATATTAAGTATCACTGAACGCCACCCTCCAACATTCCCCCATTTGCACTCAAAAAGTCTAGTCAGCCGCTGACAGTACAGTTGTACATTTATACGTACATTCAAACTGGATCGGACGTGATCCGATTTTGGTGTAGCTAAAAAAGCTGCCATTTTTGTGTGTCAGCCGATTTCACTAATTTTATCAAGCTTCAAAAACCAACAAAACTCAAGACCCCATCTTCAGGGATATAAGTCCAATATCGCCCGAGGCTACACCCAGATCACAAGAGCAAGTTCATTGCAAAGCGGTCAAGAAAATCAACCTTTGCGAAAGTCGAATGTAACTTTTAAAGTTTACAAGGGAATCTCCTTTTAGAAAATACCCTTCACTCCTTGAAAATGAATATTTTAAAATACAGTACTATCAACCCAGTAATCAACTATATATAGTGGTCCAAAGACCACTCATTATACAGCGCACGTGAACCTCCTTTTGTATTTTACTTATCCTCGTGGACATTTCGTAATACAGTTTCGCTTGGCTGAAGCTGGGCGTTGAAGAGTCAAGGTGAACCGGCAGCCTTGTCAGAATTAGTTGAAATAATTTACATATTTGCCTGGTGTTAACTACCTCGAAAAGGCGAGTTGCATGTAATGGACTCTGTTTGGTTCAGCTGATCCGGATTTCTATCAGACGACAGCTTGCGTGAGTGGGTGATTTTTTTTTTAGTAGAGAGAGGAGGAAATATTTGTTAAGGTATGGCGAAGCAATATTGAGACCTGCAATTTGTGCAATAGGTAGTAAAATTTTTACTGACTTCCGATTTTCCCTTAATTATTTTATTTTTGCTTGCCATTGCTCTTAATAGCTAGGAATATATTTCTCGCAGAACCTCGTGAAGCTCAGGTGAATGAGCCAACAGTATCGTAAAAGGGGGAAAAGCGCCAGTTTCAGGATGAAGAAGTGGTGATCTGAATTTATTGCGTGTTCAGCATATTCGAAATTTGCAAATTCTGAAAACAAAAATGTGATGTATCAAGCACAAATTTGTCAAGATGTCTTAATACGTTGTTTGGCTCGTTCTCAGGGATTATAAGTGTCAGGCTGATCCGACAATAAGCTCGATCTTAGAACTAAGTAATTCCGCCTAGATCGTTCACTTATGTCTCCGTTAGGCAGTTTAGGTAGATATACCGGTGAATGAAATTACTTCGATTATTATGTTTTGACTAGGTTAATACCCTTATTTATAAACACTCAAAAACCTTGTCGTTATAAAGATGTCAAAGATGGCAAACGCCGAGCTACCATCCACACTTTAGGTCAGGCATTGATCGGAAATCGAACGGAAGCACGGAAACCTCCTATTAATCATTGCTTTATTTCCCCCTCTTTATCCGCAGTCAGTCGAACAAAGATTGGAAAAAATATTGTAAAACGATTGACTCGTTTTATTACCTCTTCTTATAAATGCATCATTTAAACTGCTTTGACAGTTTTGAAAAAACAATTACTAAAGAGAACTTTAGTCACTGTAAGCAAATTAGATATAAATATGGGAAACAACGAACTTTCAGCTTCTTCCGTAAACAACTTTGCAGTTTTAACTATATGCGTATCCTAATCAGCCGAACAATAATGACTTTAGGCTGTGTCAAATTAGGTTAGTCCGGCAGTCGGGCCAAAAAAAATGACAGAGAGAAAAAATGAAATCGGAAAGAAAGGATGGAAGAGGAACGGACGTAAACAAATGAAAACGACGATAGCAGTATGTTTTTCCAGGAGCCTATAACCCTCCTGCTTATGCTTTTCCAAAGTCTTAACAAATATAATTATGCGAAGGCTTATTAAATGGTAAGAAAGGAACATTGATTTTTATTAATGAAATAAAAGGAAAGCTGCATTTTTTTTCACAGAGGAATGATCGGTTGTGCTAATTTAAAGATTTCAAAGAAACCTTTTTTACCTATATCTTTTTTGTTGTTGTTTTTTCCGTTTTCCAAAAAACCTGATCACCCTGCGGGCTGGTCGGGTCATGGCAAAAATGAAACTGACCGTTTCTTGGCGGGTATGGTCAGGAGGGTTATGGGCTCCTGGCATGGATCAGTGCAATTTCTCCTCTTGTCTTTGTGTCCGGGGGTGGGTACTCCCTCACATAAGCCATAATGTGCCGCCCCAAAGGTTATGTTTTGGGGGCCTGTTTGGTCTGAAAATGGGTATACACTTTGCCCATTTTGGTTTGGAATCGGGTATGGTTTTCGAGAGCGCTACGGGAGCGTATGAATGTAGTTATCTTTTCAATTCCAAATGCCAAATGTTAAGAACGAAATAGAAATATGCGAATTCGAAATGCATTTGAAGAGTTATTTTGTTTGCGCTCTAATTTAAGTAATGAATAATGATGACATAATTTCTGCCTAAAGTCTAGGTCTGAAAAACGGGTATGGAAAATGACATTTTTTAGTCGGAAATAGGGCCAGGATTTGGAAAACCGAGCGGCATACCCAGGGGCGGTGGGCTAGCAGGGTAGGGCGGACTATTTTATCGGTGGTGGACTAACAGAACTCAGGCTGGCTCATTTCCAGTGAACAGCAGCTAGTGTCCTCAGGGTAAAACCAAGGGCAAAAATGTTCTAAATTTAGCGAGGCTAGGCATGCGTTGATTGTTTATTGAATAATCACGCAACTCGAAGCCATTCTCGTTGGCAAAGCTGCGACCAAATTGGCCAGCACCACGGATTGATCCGTGGCGTTTATTGGCCGCAGGGATCTTAACTATGGGAACGATTATGCTGGTGAAACCTTCGAACGCTCGGTGGGGTATCGCTTTTTAAATTAACAATTCTATGAAACTTAGCTATTCAATAAAGCAAGTTTCAAAGTGGCACATTTATCCATTTTAAAACATAGGGAGGAAACTGGACTCCCTCCATAGCGGCGGAAACTGAGCCATGAAACCTTATCTTCGTATCACTTTGCAAAAACAAGATCCTTGTACAAATCTGCCGCGCCGCATGTTCTCTTGTGAAATAGCAAACTGTTTAATTTTTTTTCTAGTCTCCGGGCAAATCAGTTTTCCAGCCAGAATTCAAAGAGGGAAGACGTCTTATAGGAAAATGATGAAATTAAAGGACAAGTGCTTCAAAACCGAAGATAAAGAGAAGAAAGAGATCACAGTTCGCGTAGAGCGTGAGGAGTGTCCTGATGGTGGATATGGTTGGATTATATGTATTGCTGCGGCCATTATTCAGTTCATCATACTGGGAATTCATAACAATTTTGGAATCTTGTACACTTACTTTATGAAGGACCTAGATGCGGATCCTGCGGATACAGGTGAGTCATCGCCATCTTCGCAGAGGGTCGTTCAGACAGTAGGTAATTCACTAGTCTTAGCACCCCATTGAGAAATTCAATCGCATGTTAACAAACCATTGTACTTTTTCTCATGTCACGAATAAAGATGGAGGGTAGACCCGAAAAATTATGACTAGCCCGCTTTACGGGAAACGAAATGCTGTTATGTAACTCCATTCACCTTTGAAGAAAAGCGTGTACGGCACATCGACCCCAATCGGTTTATTTCTATCACAACCTTATGTAATTCATAAGCCTTGAACTGAAATAAATTTTGCTCGATATGCAATTGGGGGATTTCTCTCTGGGTGTATGTGTTTGAACTTGTCCAACTGCGAACTACAACCCTAGCCTATAGGCGGGCTTATAGGAAAGTTCGCATGAACTAAGAGCATTGAACTTTATAAGGTAAACGTCGCCATTTAGATAGCATCTTAGACATAAATTGCACAATCAGATATCAGATAAATGCCTTTTTCGATTGCCTGACATCACACAACGTTCTGAACTGGAAACATGCATTCAAGCAGAATATTTAGTTAGAGACCTCTGTTGTTCAGTTTTCTGCCTTTATTATGTAACCCGCTCATGTGGTAATACGTAGCAGCCATTGTTTTCTTTTGTATACTTGTGTCTTAACTTGGCATTAGTCAGATTGGTATTGCTGTTAGTATCTGTTTCACGGGTTACGTAAAATTAATCTCAGGCCACTGGGTCATCCGTTATCAAAACTATCATACTACTACGACTACGAGACGACTAGGACTAACTACTACTACTACTACTACTACTACTACTACTACTACTACTACTACTAGTACTACTACTATAATTACTACTACTACGACTACTACTACAACTACTACTACTATTACTACTACTACTACTACTGCTACTACTACTACTACTGCTACTACTTCTTCTTCTTCTTCTTCTTCTTCTTCTTCTTCTTCTTCTTCTTATTCTTCTTATATGGTGTAACGATCAGGGTAGGGTATGAGTTCCTTTCATGGCTGACAACATGGCAGTTAACATTTGGTCCATTTGTGTTTCTTCTTCTTAGCCCCATTCAGCTGACACGTCACTGCTCTTTAACATTTATGAGAACAATACAATCTGGCAGTCACGCGAGATTAAACTTTGCAAAGCCATTAAGTACATACCAGCACGCACAAAACCACGTCTCTAACACAACCATAGTATGTTAGTTGTAAACAGAATCTCTCTTTTGGGGGGATTAAGAGGAGATGGAGAGATGGTGAAAACTAGGGCAAGATCGATTTTGTTGTTGTCAAATAATGAAGGCCGTTTAGTGTTGATCTTCTAACGGAATTGGAGACAAAATATACTTCTGTCCTTGTACACTGTCCTGTAAGGACATCAGACACCAATTCGTAACTCACGAGAAACAAAAATATCATCATCATCATCGGTCGATCGAAGAGCAGTCAACTGAAATTCGTCTCCAACTGGCGCAGTCTTGGCCAGTGTGCACGATGTCATCCTCTGAAAAGTGCTTGTTGGGGTCGATCCTAGCCTGTTCCAGGCGTTCAGATAGTGGGGCCCCCCTCTACTTTTCATCGCTTTCTTTACTTCGCACTGCTCTCCACTATCTGAACGCTTGGAACAGGCTAGGTCGATCCATTCCTGGACTCGGCTGGGAAAGGACTTATGGGGTCTTCCCTGGGGTCTTTTCCCATTCTTTAAAAGAGAAACAAAAACTTACTTTCATAAAAAATTAGGTTAGCCCTTGTTTGTAACATTGCAAATTAAAATCTTTATTTTAATTTTGGACATCATGTAAGCAAAATACTGTATCCTTTTTCATGGTAATACCCTATATGTAAAAGCGACTGCTAATAAATATCTTAATGTTGTTAATAATAATAATAATAATAAATTATGATAATGATAATAAAATAATAATAATAAACTTTATTCAAGTGTCAGATACTTAAGCTATATATAAACTAATTGGCTCATATTGGATTGTCGATTTAAGTTTTGGTAGAATACTTAAAATTACATTTAATACCCTTATCATGCAAAAACTGCTTTTAGTCACTGCTTTTAGTTTCGATCACTAAGGAAATGACATCAAAAGAAGACGTAAAGAAAAAAACGAAAAACCACGACTTAGTATCTGTTTCATCTACGACACATTTAAAAACCTTGAACTGCAACACCTTACACGTCGACCTAAGGGCATCAAAAAGATATTCTTTTTTACTATCATAGCATTCATGACATGAGCTTCCCACGTGTGAGAACGCTGCTATTACCTGGTAAATAAAGTTCAGCTATCATCTTTCATGCGTGGCCTCTCCCAGTATACAGTAGAAACTAAAGCAATATGCGATCTGTTGGTATTTCAGCGTGGATTGGCTCCATAGCATTTGGTATGAACTTCCTTTGTGGTCCTATAGCAAGCAGTTTATGTCAGAGGTTCGGATATCGTATTGTAGCAGCAGTTGGTGGCCTTATTGCAGCCCTCGGTCTCTTGCTGACGTCATTCACTAACAGTCTTTACCTCATCTACCTTACATATAGTGTCCTTTGGGGCTTTGGCTCGAGTTTAAATTATGCTCCAACCATGCTTGTGTTGGGTGAGTTAATGTAGCTTCATAACTGATTTACCAGGTGCGTAGCTGGAAATTTAGCCTGCGAATGCGATTGTCTCCCTTCGTTGCTCACCGCTAGAGATGTTTCGCGACGAAGGCGAGAAACGAGGGTAGACGGTTGTATTCGCCGGCTGTTAAAAATTTCCATAAACACGCACTGTTTGCGAATGAACCCTACATCATCTCCCAGGGATCATTTCCTCGCGGCGGAGGGTGGGGGGGGGGGGTAACAATATGGAGAGGTAATCATCTCTCTTTATCTTAGGACCGTGACCTTCAGGCAGCAGTTAAGGCATTTCACGCGTGGCAAAACCGAAGAAAAACACCTGTTTTTGTTTTAAAAAAAATATCTCAGTGAAAGACGTTAAAGCGGAGTTATGTAGGCAGTTGCGCCGCTTTCCAGCTATTCCCTATTTATCTTCTATTCCCTTGCTTTTTCCGTTTTGTTTTTTCTTTCTATTTATCTTCGAAATTTTTTCAGGTGCACACGAGAGTAACGGTAAACAAGTTTCTCTGCCCCTTTTTGCTTAGAGTACAGTTTTACAGCCAGTTGAGACCCAAACAGCAACTGATTGTATTCTCCAAACCCTTCTATACAGGTCAATACTTTCAAAGGCATCTCCCTTTAGCCAATGGTATTGTTACAGCTGGTAGCGGAATTGGTACGTTGGCAATGGGGCCCTTTTACCATTTCATTCTCTCAAACCTCGGTTGGAAAATCATGCTAAGAATTCTTTCTGGATTCGCCTTTCTCATGTTTGTCAGCGCTCTACTCTACCGTCCCCTTCCTGCCAAGTATAAACGTGCTTGTACGGAGAAGAAAGAGAGAGCCAAGCTGTTTGACTTATCCGTGTGGAAGATAAAGCCGTTCGTGTTTTGGGTTGTATCCATGTCGCTACTGTTCGTTGGCTATTTTGTTCCTTTCATTCACTTGGTGAGGAGACTTTGTTGCAATAAATAGACCATTTCCGTGTTCCAAAAGCCTTCACATTCAAAACGAGGCTAAGTGCAAAAAATGACTTTTATTTGCACTAGAATAATCATTTTCATATCAATGGTTTCGAACTAAGCCTCGCCCTGAAACAGAGGCTTGAGGCATCTCGAAAATGGCTATTAATTATTTCGAATCTTGTCACTTCGAGACGATTGCCAAATGACAATTAACCTTATTATTTTTTTTTTTCCAAGCCCAATCACGCGAAGAATTTAGGCGTGCCTGGTTACGAGTCCGCTCTTCTAATCGGCTATCTATCCATTGCTTCCACTGTGTCACGTGTCCTGTTTGGTTTAGTGCTCAATCATCCAAGAATTAATCGTTTCTACGTTCTACAGGTATGTGTAGAGATACCTGCCTGATCCCAGAGGTTTTTCTTGATTATTTTGTCCCCGTAATAGAGAACGAGCCTTTTCGCTTAGCGGCTCTTTCTTTCTCAAGAGGACAAAAATTTCAAGAAAACCTTCTGAGGTCAGAGCAAGAGATGCCTAGCAGTCACAAAACATAAAACAGAAAATTCAGGAGTAGCTATGTCAACTAGGCCAAAGTTGACACTTAAAATGTTAGCGAAATACTTCAGATACAGAACGCACCTCTGTGTCAAATTTCGTTTCGTTTAGCTTCGCAGTTTTAGTAGATAACGTAACGAAAGTTTTCCACAATACATTTTATAACGCTCTTGTTACCTGTTTACCTTAAGCAAATTTTTCTCTCCTTTGAGGGGTAGCAAAACAAAGCAAACACTAAGTATAGTTGAGAAAACTGAAATGGTCCACAGAACATGAAACATGCCTATAGAAAGATTAGGTATTCAACTTTCATAGTCTTCATAAATTGTTCTTTTTACATTTTAATGCATTTTTCTTTCAGCTATGCTTTCTTATGATGTCTGTAACATGTACGCTATGTCCGTTAGCACGGGATTACACTGGGCTCATACTATATGCTGTTGGCTTTGGAATTTTTGATGGCTGCTTTGTTTTGCTAATTGCCATCACCACTAGTGATATAGTCGGTCCTAATAGACTACCACAAGCTTTAGGAACTTTGTATGGAGTGATATCTCTCCCTATGATATTTGGTCCACCCCTGGCAGGTACGTTTACCACCCATTTTCATCATTATCCATACAGAATATAGATCCTAATGCTATTTCATATTTCACTTGTAGGTTTTACTAGGATTTGGAATAAACTATACAAGAGATATATTCCTTGGGATTATTTCCACTGTCGGAGTGATGTTATTCTGAATCAGTGTCGCCCCATGAAATGATAAAAAGCGATGAAAATTTACTTAGAAAATAAAGGGATGCGGAAGTTAAATGGATATTGAGGTTTACTTGAAATACATCGTTTACCGTAACACAATTGGGCGGCCTGTGTGGATTACTTGACTTAATGTTTTTACTCTATCTCTTTCAGCGTTTATTTTCCAGGTGTCTGGTTCGTATCAAAATGCTTTCTTTGTAGCCGGGGGCGCCATAGCTACTGGGACATGTACTCTTTCACTGATTCCATTCTTTATGCCTGAAACCAGAGAGAATGTCGAATCAACAGAAGTCCGGAAAGAGCCTCTTTTGAAAGAGAAAACTATACAGGACTCAAATTGTACAGCGGAAAGACAACGGAACTCTTATATTTATGACACAAGTCAGTTTGCGTGGCGACGCCCGTTATCTTGTCAGCTTGCGACTGGTAGACTGGGAGACATGTTAAGCGTAGAATGTATTCTTGATATGCTTGAAAGAGAGACTGACGTTTGACATGAACAGACACACAAAGTTATTGCAAGCGTGGGAAAACGTTCACCTCCCCTGGTACACCTTGCCAACCTCATCTCCAGGGATCCCTTCGCTGACCAAAAGGAATGCGGCCTCTAGGAACGAACTTGGCTCCTGGTTACAAGCGCCGCATGCGCAGTTAAGGTACGGGAAGCATGCGGGGGTAAATAACGCGAGAGAAACGTGTACCTGGCAAAAATGGGGTGGCATTAGCGGGAAGTACACCCATTCGAAGACTATGAAGTAACATTTTTAAAAATACAGCTGGCCGGATATACAAAATTTTACAAGATTAAAACAAAGCTTATTTATTTAGTACATATTTCAAAGAAAGGAAAAACAAACAAAGAAACAAACCAAAGTAGGCATTTAACACTTAATGACTGTTTTCGAGTGAAGCTCAGAAAATTTTGAAGAGAAATAGTTTTTTTGTGAGATATCCTGTGAGCTTGAAGTAACCTTTGAGAGCAAACGCTGATGGGAAAAATCCATCTAAAAAACAACAAGCAGAGAGGACCCTCTCTTAAAAACAATTATAATTGTCATGGAGTTTATCAAAAAATACACAAATGTTTATTGGTAATTCAAAGTAGACAGACTGCAAATTATCTTAGTTGCTAAAAAATATATATCTACGAGTCGCAACTGTTCATCAGTAGGATGCCTAAAATGCGTGCAATTCCACAATTGGTTTCGGCTCCATTAAATCCTATACCAATTGCAGAACATTTTAGGAGGAGCCACCCACCATGTGAGCACAGTCACGGACAATGTGTAAGTGAGGAAAATAACGCAAAGTAAAATTAAAACGTTAATAAACGAACTAAATGTACACGTCAATTAAATAAATAAACAAATAATGCGCGCCCTCAGGCGGTGTGCGCACTACGACTGCGATGCATTGTGGATTCAAAATTTTCAAGATGGCGGCGAAGGTCGAGAAATTTCGCAGGTTATATGCTTTATTTTTCAATAGATACAGTTCTTTCCTTAGATAGTTTTTCTCGATTTCACAAGCTAATATTTGTTTAGATTTTTTCTGTGAAGAAAAACAAATCAATATTCTTCATTTCAATCTAAAACGTGGAGCCCGAAGATTCCTCCTGTAAGAGCATGAAATTTGAACCCGGTTTTTAAGAGGCTATAATTTCCATTATATTGCCCGTCGAAAGTAGAAGATAGTTGTAAGTGTTTCTACAAACCTTGTTCTACGCTAATTTTTTATCGCTCCCCAACGCGCCCCACGTTTTGTGATACTTTTTCCGAATTGAAACCGGCATGTTTTCATGGGAAAATGTAGCCTCGCGAAGACCAATGTGACATGTTACTGGAAGTGTTACTGTTGTAATCACAAGCTGATCACAAAATAGCGGGGCAGTGGCGACTGGTTCCTCCAAACAATAGCATCAGGTGAGCATAAAATGTTCGAAACTGGTATATAAATAGGCTGATGAGTACTCTGATGTAGGAATGTCTGTTTTTGTAATAGGGCTAAAAAAGCATAATAAAATTGCAGTCATACATGTGACTCTCTTTATGCAGGTATAAAATCAGTAGGATTAGAATTACAGGTATTAAATTAAATGATAAGTTTGATTATACAGTTAAGCCCTGTGCATTTTGAAACCAGCAACCTACTTCCAAGATTGGTGTGTGTTGTTGTGTGGATGTTATGACTTTGTCAGTTTCTTGCCTAGTCCCCGTTTTATTCAGTGGTGATTAGCCTCCATAGCAGGCATTTAAAAGGAAAGGGAGAGGGGTTTTGGGCACAAGAGAAATGCGAAGAGTGCACAAGGAAGGAGGGAGTGATTTCAACCTTCACCTGGTTGATGTTTATAATGCAAAAAACAATTAGTCTCCAGTATGGCAGGCATTTCCCTCCCTCCTTCCCTCACATTTCTCTTGCACTAAGACCCACTTTCCCTTTTCTTTGAAATGCCTGCCACACAGGCTAAGTGATGTCATTCAATCTGTTTACCCGTTTACACTGTTTAATATATATCAAACAATTTGCATATTTTTGTGGCTTTAGTTAAAATATAAATTGCTTGATCATTGAATGTGCTTTTGATATTGGAAAACCAAGGCTGAAAAAATGGTGACAGGGAAAGGAAATAGAAAAAGTGGAACGAAGGGGCAGTGAAATCATGAGACTAAGAACCTGAATTAACTAAGTAAGCCTAAACAGATTCTTATATAAATAGAAGTTAGCACAAGTTTAGGGTATGGTTTTTAAATGGGTTCATATTTTCTGAAGTAAAAATGTAGCTAAGAGTATTTGTGTTTCACCTTATTCCTCATATAAAGTCTGCATACCAAATTAGAAGTTATGTGAGAATGGACATAAAAAGAGGAATGTACTTAAATTTAAACATTGGCATTTACATTGCAGTTGGAGTGATAAGACAGCTTTGTCTCCAAAGAAGATTCTAAATGTTGATTTATCTCTGCTCAAGTGTACAGAATTTTTTCATAGATTTCAAAAATAAGAACCTGTTTCAAATTTTAAGCTAAACAGGTTTTTTATATAGAGGGGCTCATCTGGCATAATTTTATTTTAGCTGAACAGGTTCTTGAAATTCAGGTTCTAAGTCAGGGGTTTTACTGTACCACTAGGATCCACCTCTGCAATAACTGGTAACCCAAAAGCCCTCTTTACGGACAACCGCTTCATACAGACACCTGATCAAGGCTGTGCTCTAGCAGAGCCCTGTGGCCCTGGTACCTAACTTTTGCTTTTGGGTGACTAGAAAATCTCAGACTTTTCATACAAATCATATGCTGGGCAGCCTAGATTTTACAGGTTCAGAGAACTAGGCTCCTTTCAATGTTCCTTAGAGCACAGCCTTGCTCATCATTACAGATAGCTTGCTTTGTTCCCTGGAAAAAAAAAAAAGCCCTTAACTTTTCTCTAAATTAAGATGGTTAATTTCTACGGTCCCCTCAGTGTCTGTATAACAGAATTGACTGTGAGTATGATGAGACCTATGACACCATATTTAAATTATAAAAATTGGGGTGAGGAGAAAGGAAAGGGGTCTCAAGCTATGTTGCCCCAGCCCTAATTACAGGGGATTTGAAAACATGTATGAATTTCACATTTTGAAGAGTTTTTATAATCCAAAAAAATATGTGATAACATGTGTTTGTACATACTGACACAATCATTAAACAAATATTGGCTGCAGCTTTTAAAATCTATTGACTGCATCAGGCTTTGTAATCACAAATATGCCATTTTCAGTTTCAATCCAGTTATAAAACATTCTATGACTCATACCAATAGAGAAATATGGCAAAAAAAGATGCTCAATATTATATTATCTATAAAGAGGACACAAGTTCACTGTACACAAATACTCTCTACTTCATTTACTTGTCTTCATGTGATGATAAATACAGATGTTAAGCAAAACGAAATGCAAACTTGGTGCCAACAGAGAAACAAGTCCTCGAAACGATGACCCCCTCAACTTCGATTCTCTTATTACAGCTAGCAAGTGAACATCTTGCAATGCTGAATGACAAAACAAAATAAGCTCACTGTGTTTAAATACCGTTGCCGGGTATTCTGAAGAAGCTCCTAGTATCTTATGAGTATATCACAGCTATGCACATCAGTACCTCTTAGCACTAGCTGCACTGATTTCACGGTGAATTCAAAAATTTTCGGCGAACCGCGGGTCTTACCTCCACTGCCACCTCCACTGCTTTTCATGATTGAAGCATTGAACAAAGCGTTTCTGTGCCGACTTTTCTCGGTCAGTTGCAAACAGGATGCAATTGATTACGAACAAAATACACCAGAATACACTTATCAACGGAATGAGACTGTTTTTTCCCTGAGAATTGGACAGACTTTCTTTTTCAAGGGCTTCCGGAGGACATTCAAAGCAAAATCGTATATATCTACAGCGTAATTAACGAATATTCACTCCGCAGTCGAGATGTTCACTCCACGCCATCTTGACACAAATGATCAGATTTTGAATACCGCCCATGATGCTTAGCGATCGTAGTGCGCACACCGCCTGGCGCGCCCTCAAAATAAAATTGTACGCACGTGCTTGGCACTTGAAATATAATGCGTGGTACAAATAGTGTGCGGATAAACTAACAGTGTGGGTTGAAACTAAAACAGTTAAAGAGCAAAAAATGACAACTTGCGACTAAAGAAAATCAGAATAAAGAAATAACAAAAACTGCAAAAAGCGAGGACTGTGAAATACAGTTACATTGTTTCGGCTAGAGAAAACTGCTGTGAAGCTGACTGCGAATAACGCGAAGAGACTTGCAAGAAACTAAACAGAACTGCGCTTAGCGCGGACCGAAATGAACTGAACAAACTTTACTGCAGAACTACGATATAAATTACGGTACAATATGTTGAATACGCAGAAACGCAAACTAAGAAACTGAAAAAAGGCGCTAATGAAGATGAAAAATGTAAAGAGACGCATAGAAACATAGAACTAAACACCAAAACTTGCGCAAAGAAACTAAACAAAGGGTGAAAGAAACTATAAGCTTAATTAAAGTACGAATTAAAGCAAAAACGAATAATATATAGAAAAATGTTACACTTGGATCTTACACTATGTGACAAGATCTGTCCACAAGTACCCCAAGCTTACGAGTGATAATCATTGTTGCGTAACTGAAATATTATAAAGATTTGTATGGAGATTTAAGCCATCGTTATTTAGGGGTCAAAAATACTAGTAACTATACATCAAAATTTCTCACCTAGTCCCCTTGTGTTAATTTATGGTGTTTTCGTAGCATTCTTGGCCGTTTCAGGGCGATTCCAGCGAGTTGTTGCTCTGTACGTTGTTCGTTATATATATAACGCAACAACGATTCTCACTCGTGAACTTGGGGTACCCGTGATCTGTCTGAATAGAAGGTGTTCCCATCAGGGTCATTTGTGCCGTTTCGGTCTGCTATCCGTGTCTTTCTTCTTGGTAGAAATCCACGCCCAATAAATCTCATTACTCTTCGATATTTTTGTTCAACCTTTATTATAACCATCTTATTTTCAAAACATACACCGATATTTTTTGGTCATTTTTGTTCATTGTACCACACGCACGCACGTGCGTGCGTGTGGTGCAATGAACTTTTTTTCATGTTTTTCACGTGAGCTTTTTTGTTTATTTTAGCGTCATTGTTCGTGTACAGTATCGCATGATCGTAAGAAAAGATGAACTCAAATCATCAAAATTATGGTAACTTAAAGAGATTACTTACAGCTAAAATAGTTGTGATATCCAGCTTGAAGTTGTTCATTTTTAAAGGAAGAGACTCTGTCCTGTCCAAAAGAAAGCGAACTTCATGTCATGAAGACGCCTTTGTAAGGTCTTATAAGTCAGACTATAGCTCTTACAGAGTTCCTTTATACCGACTTGTTTTATCCATTTATTTTTCAACCACTGACCTCGTTCACGATCACGTGGCCGAGCAGTCAACATTTTTTCTTTCAATAATTGAATACGTAACAATGGACTTTGAAATCCGACTTTTATGCATTGGGCACATCACTCTGTCTCCCTTACGAAAACTGCTTCAATCACGATTTATATGGAACTAAAATTACAGTGGCTTTGTAATCAAGTTAGATGAGCCTCACGAAGATAATGTACTAATGGAGCGAAAGAGCTACACTGAAACCTATTAAGCGGAACCCGTATTAAAAATAGACTCTCAGTTATTACACCGACATCTACTCACTCTTAAAAGGACAATAACAAAAAGGATTAACTTTCAAAGCTTTCGGATGCAATAAGTGGCGAGTCAGAGAAAAGTAAATGTTTTGACCTAAATATTCCACTTTACAAATAGCGTGATTTCCCATGACCAATCAGGTTTAGGCTTGGCTTCTTTCGCCATCAGCACCACTATTCACACTACTCACGTGGCGGATTTGTGCCCTTGGTAGTTTAACCTTAACAATCCCAAGCGACACAAGCATCAGTGATTGTTATGGAAGAATTTTCATGACTATAAAAGCGGATTTTCTGTGTATTTGGAAAACATCACTGTGCTTTGGGATCGTGACATATATAGGTGTTATAACCTTCTGTTGGAACAAAGCTTTTCGACTATTATTAGATAAGCTCTAACTTGAAGAGCAACATATGTCTAGATATTCCTCAATTTGGTTTTATCTTTTACGTAAGGTATCAAATTGGGTTGTCCAAATACTATTGGCAGCTGTAACTTGCACATGACAATCAAAATGAGTGGAGATGTTCATTTCCTTAATGCTGATTAGTTCAGTCACGAAAAGACCTCGTTAACGAACGGGAAACCTTTCTTTGAGCTAACTTGCTTCATGAATTTCCCCTCAAAAGTGTTTTTTACATCAGAAGTCTTGGTTCCTTTCATTTGAACATCGTTTTATATCGCTTACATCCTGCATAAACTGACGTGTATATAATTTTCCTCTGGTTACCGCCCAAATACCTCCTTTAAAACATCAGTCCCTCTATCATAACATTGATTAGGCATGTCATGACACCGACTGTCAAAGAAAAAAAGCAATAAGAGGTATACTCAATTTTTGGTCTTAAAAAACGTTCCTTGTGTTTTTTCTAACAAATAAGCTGTTTCAAGATAAAGAAGTGGTGATTGAATTGCCAGAAAAGCATTTTTTTTTTCATGTACGCGGCCGAGGGTGGATTCTGATATCGATATTTTGCATCTGGAACAAGACTGGCAAAATGCGTTTCACGCCATTTAATGCGATTTGCGATTGTTCATGAAGTGAACATATTTGCCACGACACCAAGTTGAAGATGGCAAAAACATAAAAAAGTATGGTATCTATAGATCTAATATTATGGTATAAATACAATAGAGGCACCATCGTTGGAAGTTTCTAGGGAAAAAAATATTGAAAATAATGTGAGAAAGGAAACCGGACAAGAATTCCACAACTGATAGAGAATTTCCTTGCCCATGGGTGATGGGTGCTTGAAATTGTTGTTGTTTTTCTTTTTGTTCTTACTGATAGCGTACATTTCTTGGTCCGCTGTGTATTGTTGAAGGGTCACCTCTGACTCTCCACATGAGAAATTAGCATGATCATCACTTTCATTGTCCAATCAGCTTTTTTTTCTTGCAATCACTATTTATTAATACTTTTCACACCACTTTTCACACCACTTTTCCACGAGGTGCACGCTATTGATACTCGTCTCAAATTTGTTACGATCAAGGCTTTTTATCGGCTTTATTTCATGTTAAGCATACCATCGTTCATGATATCTCTCTGAGCGCATTTGAACGACGTTTATCTTTGTTTTCGACACTTGTTGGTTCCTTGTGAGTCTTAAGTAAAAGTAGGCTAACGATCAACTGAGCGGCGAACCCTTTAAGCCAAAATGAAAAAACTACTGAACAAGATCATCGCCAGAAATGAGACAAAAAAGCGTGATGTCACGGCCCTAGAAATTTGCACGGAAAAGGAATGTCCCGACGGTGGATATGGTTGGATTATTTGCATCGCAGCGGCGATTTGCCAGTTTATCATCATGGGTATTCACAACAACTTTGGTATCTTATACACTTACTTCATGAGGGATTTAAAGGCAGATCCTGCAGATACAAGTGAGTTATTACGATTGCAATTTTGAGCTATAGCTTATGCGAATTCAATATACACTCTTTTTTTTGTAAGAATACATTTTATAAGAATATCGAGGCTGAAAGTGGCGAAATTTCAAGAATATTATAAGAATAGATCCGAAGCTGAGATTTTCAGAAGGATTTAATTTTGTGGGTTGAAATACAATACAATTATATGTTTTTCACTTATAACTTTATCTGAACGGCAAAACTAGCCAAGAAAACGAAAAATCCCACACTAACTATAATTAATACCATGCAATACATTCTAAAACGAAAATGTCATCAGCTATACAATATAAGTTAAGAATAATAACAAGAATATTTTCGAAATAAAATTGGCAGAAAATTAAGAATATTCAGCCTGGGCCGGAAAAAAAAACATTCTTATAAAAAAAGAATTTGGTTCTAAAGTTAAAATGTCTGTGTTTTTCAATTCCTCACTTTGGATTTCCTGCATAAAAATTGAAATTTCCACTACCTATCTATTATGATTAACCGGTAACTATCCTAAGTAATTCTTGATTTCTTTCAGTGGAAATTGCAAATTCAATATTTGTAGTATCCATTTTTTCCCTTCTTCATCTAATACAATCTGTGTAACAGCTTTAAAAAAAGTTCCTTGATCTACTTCTGTTACCTTAGTTTTTTTTATTCTGATCCCGGCGTAGGGTATCGAGGCAAAAAAGTCTTGAAGATATTAAAAATAGGTCCACGAACTTGTCACAGAACGTTCTGTCATCCATAAAACTTTGGAATCAAAGCGTCACGCGTGTTGTTTAAGGGAACCTGAAACCTTCTTTTCCTCCGCTCAGTAGGCGACGAACAAGCTGAGAGTGATTACATAACTTTTTATCAACCGTGCGTGTGAATTAAGGCATGGCTCCCCATGCACGTAATATCTTGTTTACATAATCTCTTTTCCGAGCCAAACATCCTGTTTCATTCTGGCTTGTCCCAAACAAGAACTTGAAAAATATTGAAGAATTATTTATAGAGTATCATGACCAACGAAGCCCTCATTAAATTATGCTAGATACTGCATCATAACGAAATATTCACCCAGCTCTCAGTCCAAGGTCCTGCGTTTTCAGTTATTTTCCTCAAACAGCCCGAAAAGGTATAAGTTTGTGCTAAGGGTTGCTGAAAAAAAAAGAAAGCATTTTAAAGTCACAACAAGGGGTAGACAAGAGGAAAGCTGTTTGATTCCTGGGCTACTTTTTTAATCGAACACCATTCGTCTTTGAGTTACCTCCAGTGCAGAATAATTTTATAAGAATCTATGAAGTAATCTCTTAACAGATACTGTCCTCTGCCACAAAGTTAGATTTTGTAATGCTATGTAACTTCCTCAAATGAAGGAATTTAACGTACATCGACTTGCAGATGTATGTACTCTTTTGTTTTCTGTAAGAATATCATTTTATAAGGATATCGAGGCTGAGATTTGCAAAATCTTAAGAACATGATGAGAATAAACCCAAGGCTGGAAAGGATACTGAATTTTGTGTGCTGAAAATCTGTTAATACAACACAATCATATGTTTTTTGCTTAACCGAGAAATTATTTCTTAACTGCAAAACTAACCACCAAGAAGAAAAACCGTGACCTGCCATTGCCATAAATTCCACTTCATAGCCTAATATATTCTAAAACGGAAAGGTCGGAGGCTACAATTTAACGATAATACCAGAATATTTTCAGCCTAAAATCGAATAAGAATATTCAGCTTGGGCTGAAAAAACAGCATTCTTACAAAAAGAAAAGAGGGTACACCAAATTGGTGACATTGGGTTCGGTCTTTACGTTGCCCGGGGGGGAGGGGGGGAACTCCCATATGAAAGAGGCGGGGATGCTCGTCGTCTCGCTTATGGGTGTAAATTTCATAATTTGGTCTCGCTTAGGGTGTTCTGGGCAAAACACCATTAGCCGTAAAGGTCTTTTTTAGGGTTGCACTCGAAGAAATATTAAAAAATTATATATTTTCAATTCGTTTTATTTACTCGATTCTTGTAATCAAAGTTTAAAATGATCTTTTTTAGGGGTCAAAAAAAGGTTGGGCCACGCCCCTATTGATCTCCTTTAGCGGTTTAATTCAAAATTTCCGACGAGCTTCCCCGCCCCTTTCATATGGGAGTCCCTCCCCGGGGTACGTTGTATGACATTGGACATTTGCACTGTATTTATCACTAAATTATTTTAAGCGATGGTTATTATCAATGATTGTATTCGATTTTTCATGTTTCAGCTTGGGTTGGTTCCATAGCATTTGGTGTAACCTTCTTTGGCGGTCCAATAGCCAGCAATTTGTGTGAAAGATTTGGTTGTCGGCTTATAGCAGCAATTGGTGGTCTTATAGGTGTCCTCGGTTTCTTGATGACGTCATTTGCCAATAGTGTCTACGTCATCTACTTCACATACAGTGTCGTTTGGGGTTTTGGTTCTTCTTTAAGCTATGCTACAACAACATTTGTGATAGGTGAGATTAACATCTTTCACCTTTTTCATTCCACAGTTAATAGTATATCGGTTCTGAACTCCTAAAACAGTTTTTATCCTCATCAGTCATCAAAGTTGCTCTTAGCTAATGTCGTTTGGTTCAGTTGACTTTGCATGCTATATTTCAGGGACTTCCTAAACTATGAATAGTTTACAGGAAGATATTTCCCCAGTCGGGGCCTTGGTTCTAACTGCACTTTTTAATATGTTCATACAGGTCAGTACTTTGACAGGAATCTTGCGTTAGCCAATGGTATTGTTACTGGTGGAAGTGGTATCGGAGCGATAGCAATGGGACCCTTTTATCATCTCGTCTTGTCAAACCTCGGCTGGAAAATCATGCTAAGAATTCTTTCTGGATTCGCCTTTCTCATGTTTGTGAGCGCTCTACTCTACCGTCCCCTCCCTGCCAAGTATAAACGTGCCCGCATAGGCCGAAAAGAGAGAGCCAAGCTGTTTGACTTGTCCATGTGGAAAATAAAGCCGTTCGTGTTTTGGGTTGTATCTATGTCGCTACTGTTCTTTGGCTACTTTGTTCCTTTCATCCACTTGGTGAGGAAACGCAGATGTAATATATTTACTGATAGGTTTATCACTCTATCTTTTCACCGCCAAACCTAGGGGAAGTAATTTTTTAAGAATAATCCCAAGAGTGTGGTGTGAAATTAATTTGAATGGTCCGAGAAATGCGAGCATTATATACAGTCCCAACGCACGCGAAAGTCGCGAGCAGCATCCCATGAATAGACTGTTTCTGGCTTTTTAATGGTTAGCGAGAGTCGAAATCATAAACGCTAGGTACTGCATTGGATGATCCAGTCGTTCATCAATGAAAGGCTCCTGGCAAGAGGGTGCATACACTGAACCAATGTGGCACACGTCACAACATACCTTCGTACAATGAACATGTAGTGAGCCTCCTGTAGTTTTGCGCTTATGGCATCTGGCTGGGATTTTTAGGTCTCGTTTTTCACCTGAGAATGAACTACTACTGAAGAGCTTTCATGTCCCGCACACAACCCCTTATGGAACGCAATTGAAAGCTTAATGAGAGTATAGTTCCTAGTTATTATCTTTCTTCAAATGTTACACCGTAGAAATTAATCGTGGTCGACTTTATTCGCGTTCGACTTTACGAGAACGCAACCTAATCTTGCACTAGCTGTTTCATAATTCTAGCTGATTTCAAGGCGGCCTCGAAATGGTCCTCTGATCATTTTTTTTTTCTTCAGCCCAATTTCGCTGAGATTCTTGGAGTACCCGAGTCTAAGGCTTCTTTGCTAATAGGCTACCTTTCCATTGCTTCAACTCTGTCACGTGTTCTCTTTGGCCTTGTGCTCAATCACCCAAGAATTAATCGTTTCTACGTTTTACAGGTATGTAAAGAAATGCTTTCACTTACTAATATGTAACCATGTGAATGTTGCTGCTTAAAGTTTCTATTGGACAATTTGGTACTTTAATAATGAACGCATGAGACTGAAATTAAGTAGAGATACGTTTTCGAGCCAAGAAAGGTGTTTGCAAATAGGATCAGTTCATAGACTGTTTAAGTAGTTGTTAATTGTGGCCAGTCTTTATCAAATTACAATTTCTTTTCTTTTTAAAACGAACAACTCGAGACATCTGCCGATCTACCATCAGTGCAAATACAGCAATGACCAAGCTTGTTCGGCTGGATAACGCCCAAAAAGGGAACTTTTAATTGCGGGACCAACGCGGAAAATCCCAAGCGGGCTTTAGCAAATCAGAATGCAGGATTCGCTTCATCTTGCTCGCCCGCGGGTTCAACCATATAGTAAAAGATGTTGCTTATTTCTTTCAGGTTTGCTTTGTGATGATGGCTGTTACATGCATGCTATGTCCTTTGGTACAAGATTACACTGGGCTCATATTATATGCTGTTAGCTTTGGAACGTTTGACGGCTGTTTTGTTTTGCTTATAGCCATAACTACTAGTGATGTAGTCGGACCTAATTTGCTACCACAAGGTTTAGGGTCCTTGTATGGAGTTATATCTCTTCCTATAATATGTGGAGCTCCTTTAGCAGGTACGTTTTACTTTGTAGCTTAACCGCCTATTTGCATTGTAACCATTCCCATAAACCTTAAGAGTATCAAAGAGAGTTAAACTTAGAAAGTTGGCTTAATTTTTTCAAGTTCAATCCTGGCCATCGAAAGCCAAAGACATACATTAAACGTTGTGGTATAGTCGACGAGTAATTCAAAATAAACATGAACCATTAATTCTATCAGGGTTTTCTTTGTTTTCCAATGCATTTTTAAAATGTTTTTTGATGAAATCAGTTTCATTTGTTTCATGTTCGTTCTCTTCTAGCGTACATTTTTGAGAAAACTGGATCATATCAGGATGCCTTCTTAGTAGCCGGAGCCGCCATAGCTGCTGGATCCTGCACTCTTCCTTTTACTCGACTATTTATGCCAGATCTAGAAACCGGCAGAGAAAGGAAAGAAATCTGCGAAGAGACTCCCGAACAGGAAAAGGCTGCGCATGTCTCTGTAATCGCTAATGAATTTGCAGAAGGACAAAGAAACTCATGTGTATGACACAAGACACTTTGTTTATACCCCTAGACTGAGCGAGAGTCTCCGCTTTCCTATGGAAGCCTCCTCCCCCAGGTTTTACGGATGTTTGCCCCTAGGAAAAACATGATTCTAAGTTTTCTTATCTTTATTTAGTAATTAGCTCTTTTTTCAATCGATGTCCTCTTTTCAGGATCACGTAGAAGTTACTGAATCTTTTGAGAGGTCAACATTTTTTTTGATTTGCAAAGCGTTAAATAACACTTATGAACTTTGAAATCAATTTACTGATGTAGTTGTGCATCGGGCCCATATTGACTGATTAACACTAGCCTCGAATTCTTAATTTTTATGAAGTAGATTATCAGAGGTTTCAAATTTTTAACCACTACCCACACTCTTTCGAAAGCAGTACAGGTAAGTAGCCTGCGAGCCGCGAGAGACACGCGAGTGAGCGGCGTCTCCTTTCGCGTACCCCTCGCACGTGACTTCTCGCGACTACCCAAATGGAGACCTTACTCGCAGGCTAGAAAAAGAGGATACAAGTAAGTCTTCTTATCGGCGGATACCTCTTCCAACCTTACGAATCGATCTTAACAAGAGAGGATAAAGGCTCTCTTGATCTTAATGAATCGATGACGGTCAGGTGAGCTGCGCATGTAGACGAAATAACGTGGCAGTATATGTTGCAATTTATAGGAGAGCCAGTTATGTTTAAACTGAATAAGGTAGCGCTGAAGACCAAGAAAGAATAAAGGTGTTTTCCTGTCTTGAAAAGATTGAAGACTGACATAGCTCAGGGGCACCCAATGGATCTGTTCCTGAAAATATCTCACTGTTCTTCAGGCAAATGTTTGCTGGAAGTGTTGCTGGGAAGAAAGATAATTCATTGTGTCTGAGGGGATTTGATGTGTGGAATAGCTGCTATGGGTTATTTGTCATAAACTACCCCCCCCCCCCTCTTCCCGCGGCTGAAGGGGTGAATGTCGCCGTTAGGTCACACCCATTTTTCTACGTAACGCCCCCCTCCCCGCCAGTGAAGGTCTGAATTTTACCCTATGACCACGCCCAAACTGGCCAGTGATGTCTGGACATACGTCTGCTGCTGGGAAACGTCCCAGTAAGTCAGGTTGCAGAGTGTAGATTCACCTTGCTGGCTGGGAACTCTTCCATCAGTCTTTCTGGGAGTGAGGAACAGATACATTTTTCCCAGCAATCTCCCAAAATGCTTAAATGGCTTCAAAAAGCTTTATTCATGCTTTGTTGTTGTCTTAAGGTCTTTTTCTTAAAATCAAAACAAACAATAGGTCAAGATAAGCGAACCGATTCTCCAAAAAATATATACTAAATAAAAAGTAATTGAAATGGAATAAGAGGGTGGAATTTTAAAGCTATCGGAATTCAATCAGTGAAGTGTCATTAAAGCCCGGGGAGTAGTCCTGGGAATTCTTGGTGGGGGTGGGCCGCCCGGTTCTCCAAATCCTGACCCTATCCCAGACCGTGAAAAAGTGTCATTTTTTTCACCCGTTTTCAGACCTGGCCCCTAAGAAATTATGTCATCATTACTTAGATTAGAACGCCAACTAAAAAGATTTCTTAAAATCCACTCGAATTCGAGCATTTCCCCAGTTCTTTTTCTTATTCATTTGGAATTGAAACGATAAATACGTTCGTGGGTAAAGTCTATACACCTTTTCAGACCAAAACGACGCAAATGCCAACCCTGTGGACGAGGGTGGGTATACTATATGAATAATGTGCTTATACAAGGGAGTTCCCCTCCTGAGGGGGGGGGGGGGGACCACTTCAAGTGTAAGTTTCTGATCTCCACTTGCCAGTCTACCACTTATCATCACACCCCCCAAAAAACACACCCGGCCCCCCAAAAGAATATCCTGTTGTCATCCGGATTCTTGTCTTAATCCTGCTATTATTTGTTTCAAATAGACGATTGCATTTGTATCGCATCCTGAAGGTATATTTAATTTTGTTTTGGTTACCGCGAAAATAAAATTCCTGATGTCTAGACACTCTCGCGCATTATTTTGGTGATCGGTTATCAACAGATGTTTTGTGAGTTTCTTGACGCCGTCCTTTTCCGAGCCCTTTGATGTGTGCACATCACTCTGTCTCCCTTACAAAAACTGCTTCAATCACGAGTTATATCGAGGTAAAATTCCAGTGGCCTTGTAATCAACTTAGATGAGCCTTACGAAAGTAATGTACTAATGGAGCGAAAGAGCTAGACTCTCATTTATTACACAGGTGACAATCCTAAGTAAAGTCCACAACTTATCTCAGCATGTATATTTTCTGCAAAACAAGGACAGCTCGACTTCACAGGTGCATGTAATCGTGATGGTCAGGTGAGCCTGTCCGCTTCAGTAAAATAACTCTGTACTATAGCTGTCTTAAGGCAGAAAAACGCAGTTGGCATTATTTTTTTTTGCGATTACACGATTCATGGAAGGCTTTCTTGATCGATTCTTGAGGCTGGTAAAGGTGTGTTAACCGACACCTACTCAGTCTTAAAAGGACAATAACAAAAAGGATTAACTTTCAAAGCTTTCGGATTCAATAAGTGGCGAGTCAGAGAAAAGTAAATGTTTTGACCTAAATATTCCACTTTACAAATAACGTGATTTCCCATGGCCAATCAGGTTTAGGCTTGGCCTCTTTCGCCATCAGCACCACTATTCACACCACTCACTTGGCGGATTTGTGCACTTGGTAGTTTAACCTTAATAATCCCAAGCGACACAAGCATGACTGACTGTTATGGAAGCATTTTCATGACTATAAAAGCGGATTTTCTGTGTATTTGGAAAACATCACTGTGCTTTGGGATCGTGACATATATAGGTGTTATAACCTTCTGTTGGAACAAAGCTTTTCGACTATTATTAGATAAGCTCTAATTTGAAAAGCAACATTAGTCTAGATATTCCTGAATTTGGTATTTTCTTTTACGTAAGGTATCAAATTGAGTTGTCCAAATACTATTGGCAGCTGTATGTAACTTGCACATGACAATAGCTCGTCAGTAATAGTTCTGAGTTCTGCCTGCAAACTAAATGTGTGGAGATGACCAATTACGTAATGCTGATTAGCTCAGTCACGAAAAGACCTCGTCAACAAACGGGAAACCTTTCTTTGAGCTAACTTGCTTCATGAATTTCCCCTAAAAAGTGTTTTTTACATCAGAAGTCTTGGTTCCTTTCATTTGAACATCGTTTTATATCGCTTACATCCTGCATAAACTGACGTGTATCTAATTTTCCTCTGGTTACCGCCCAAATACCTCTTTTAAAACATCAGTCCCTCTATCATAACAATGATCAGGCATGTCTCATGACAGCAACTGTCGAAGAAAAAAAAAGTAATAAAAGGTAGACTCAATTTTTGGTCTTAAAAAACGTTCCTTGTGTTCTTTTCTAACAAATGAGCTGTTTCAAGATAAAGAAGTGGTGATTGAATTCGCAGAAAAGCATTTTTTTTTTCATGTACGCAGCCGAGGGTGGACTCTCGATATTTTGCATCTGGAACAAGACTGGCAAAATGCGTTTCACGTCATTTAATGCGATTCTTCATGAAGTTTGCCACGACACCAAGTTGAAGATGGCAAAAACATTAAAAAGTTTGGTATCTAATATTATGATATAACTACAATAAAGGCACCATCGTTGGAAGTTTTTAGGGAAAAAAATATTGAAAATAATGTGAGAAAGGAAACCGGGCAAGAATTCCACAACTGATAGCGAATTTCCTTGCCGATGGGTGATAGGTGCTTGAAATAGTTGTTGGCTTTTTCGTTGTTGTTGTTGTTTTTCTTTTTGTTCTTACTGATAGCATACATTTCTTGGTCAGCTGTGTATTGTTGAAGGGTCACCTCTGACTCTCCACATGAGAAATTAGCATGATCATCACTTTCACTGTCCAATCAGCTTTTTTTTCTTGCAATCACTATTTATTAATACTTTTCACACCACTTTTCACACCACTTTTCCACGAGGTGCACCCTATTGATACTCGTTGTTATGATCAAGGCTTTTTATCGGCTTTATTTCATGTTAAGCATACCATCGCCCATGATATCTCTCTGACCGCATTTGAACGACGTTTATCTTTGTTTTCGACACCTGTTGGTTCCTTGTGAGTCTTTAGTAAAAGCAGGCTAACGATCAACTGAAAAAAATGAAAAAACTACTGAACAAGATCATCGCCAGAAATGAGACAAAAAAGCGTGATGTCACGGCACTAGAGATTTGCACGGAAAAGGAATGTCCCAACGGTGGATATGGTTGGATTATTTGCATCGCAGCCGCGATGTGCCAGTTTATCATCATGGGTATTCACAACAACTTTGGCATCTTATACACTTACTTCATGAGGGATTTAAAGGCAGATCCTGCAGATACAAGTGAGTTATTATAATTGCAATTTTTTTAGCTATAACCCTAGGTGACTTCAATATACACTCTTTTTTTATAAGAATGCATTTTATAAGAATATCGAGGCTGAAAGTAGCGAAATTTCAAGGATATTATAAGAATAGACCCGAAGCTGAGATTTTCAGAAGGATTTAATTTTGTGGGTTGAAATACAATACAATTATATGTTTTTCACTTATTGCTTTATCTAAACGGCTAAACTAGCCAACAAAACGAAAAAATCCTACACTAACTATAATTAATACCATGCAATACATTCTAAAACGAAAATGTCATCAGCTATATACAATATAAGTTAAGAATAATAACAAGAATATTTTCGAAATAAAATTGGCAGAAAACTAAGAATATTCAGCCTGGGCAGGAAAAAAACATTCTTATAAAAAAAGAATTTGGTTCTAAAGTTAAAATGTCTGTGTTTTTCAATTCCTCACTTTGGATTTCCTGCATAAAAATTGAAAATTCCACTACATATCCATTATGATTTACCAGTAACTATTCTAAGTAATTCTTGATTTCTTTCAGTAGAAAATGCAAATTCAGTATTTGTAGTATCCATTTTTTCCCTTCTTCATCTAATACAATCTGTGTAACAGCTTTAAAAAACAGTTCCTTGATCCTGATCCCGGCGTAGGGTATTGGGGCAACAAGTCGTGAAGATATTAAAAATAGGTCCACGAACTTGTCACAGAACGTTCTGTCATCCATAAAACTTTGGAATCAAAGCGTCACGCGTGTTGTTTAAACCTGAAACCTTCTTTTCCTCCTCTCAATAGGCGACCAACAAGCTGAGAGTGATTACATAACTTTTTAATATATAGATTTAGCCAGGGCTAAAAGCGAAGCTCCTTTAATATTTATAGATTCCTCAAAGAAAATATAAAATCCATGAATTCTAAAGACAAGTTGAAAGTAACGAGAACGCTAAAAACAACAACAATAGATCTAATAAGCTAAAAACAACTCTGCACGTGCAGCAGTTTTTTTTTTGTACATTTCCTTACCGTTGTTTTACACGTCTAACGTGAAACTTCTTTTAGCTTCCTATTTACGCGTTTTATGGAGGAAATGTTTGTGTTCCTGTTCATTCTATTTTTTCACTGCCGCTCCTTTTTCACATTAGTAGCCGCTAGCATTCTTCATTTTTTAATATAACCGCCGCTATATAATTTTCATGTTTTTCTTCCAACGACATTAGTCTCCGTTTTTATTTATTTCTCGGTCCTGACAAGTGTGACACTTGACATCGGCTTACATGAAGTGTGTGTACCGGTGGGCGGGCGGGCGTACGCTACGTCTTAACCAAATTTTCTCGGATGGATAGTTTACCAAATTTTCTTACCCATGGTGCTCCGCTTGCGCGCTTCGCGCGCGAGAGCTCCGCTATCAACCGTGCGTGTGAATTAAGGCATGGCTCCGTTTACATAATCTCTTTTCCGAGCCAAACATCCTGTTTCATTCTGGCTTGTCCCAAACAAGAACTTGAAAAATATCGAGGAATTTTATTTATAGAGTATCATGACCAACGAAGCCCTCATTAAATTATGCTAGATACTGCATCATAACCAAATATTCACCCGGCTCTCAGTCCAAGTTCCTGCGTTTTCAATTATTTTCCTCAAACAGCCCGAAAAGGTATAAGTTTGTGCTAAGGGTTGCTGAAAAAGAAGAAAGCATTTTAAAGTCACAACAAGCAGTAGACAAGAGGAAAGCTGTTTGATTCCTGGGCAACTTTTTTAATCGAACACCATTTGTCTTTGAGTTTATAAGAATCTATGAAGTAATCTCTTAACAGATACTGTCCTCTGCCACAAAGTTAGATTTTGTAATGCTATGTAACTTCCTCAAATGAAGGAATTTACCGTACATCGACTTGCAGATGTATGTACTCTTTTGTTTTCTGTAAGAATATCATTATATAAGACTATCGAGGCTGAGATTTGCAGAATCTTAAGAATACGAGAATAAACCCAAGGCTGGAAAGGATATAATTTTGTGCGTTGAAAATCTGTTAATACAACACAATCATATGTTTTTTACTAAACCGAGAAATTATTTCTAAACGGCAAAACTAACCACCAAGAAGAAAAAGAACGAAACCATTACTATTAACTCCACTTCATAGCATAATATATTCTAAAACGGAAAGGCCAGGGGTTACAATTTAACGATAATACTAGAATATTTTCGGCCTAAAATCGGCAGAAAAATAAGAATATTCAGCCTGGGCTGAAAAAACAACATTCTTACAAAAAGAAAAGAGGGTACACCAAAATGGTGACATTGGGTTACGCTGTATGATCTTTTGCACTGTATTTATCACTAAATTATTTTAGGCGATGGTTATTATCAACGTTTGTATTCGATTTTTCATGTTTCAGCTTGGGTTGGTTCCATAGCATTTGGTGTAACCTTCTTTGGCGGTCCAATAGCCAGCAATTTGTGTGAAAGATTTGGTTGTCGGCTTATAGCAGCAATTGGTGGTCTTATAGGTGTCCTAGGTTTCTTGATGACGTCATTTGCCAATAGTGTCTACGTCATCTACTTCACATACAGTGTCGTTTGGGGTTTTGGTTCTTCTTTAAGCTATGCTACAACAACATTTGTGATAGGTGAGATTAACATCTTTCACATTTTTAATTCCACAGTTAATAGTATATCGGTTCTGAACTCCTAAAACAGTTTTTATCCTCATCAGTCATCAAAGTGGCTCTTAGCTAATGTCATTTTGTTCAGTTGAGTTTGCATGCTATATTTCAGGGACTTCCGAAACTATGAATAGTTTACAGAGAAGATATTTCCTCAATCAGGGCCTTGGTTCTAACTGCATTTTATAATATGTTCATACAGGTCAGTACTTCGACAGGAATCTTGCTTTAGCCAATGGTATTATTACTGGCGGAAGTGGTATCGGAGCGATAGCAATGGGACCCTTTTATCATCTCGTCTTGTCAAACCTCGGCTGGAAAATCATACTAAGAATTCTTTGTGGATTCGCCTTTCTCATGTTTGTGAGTGCTCTACTCTACCGTCCCCTCCCCGCAAAGTATAAACGCGCCCACATAGGCCGAAAAGAGAGAGCCAAGCTGTTTGACTTGTCCGTGTGGAAGATAAAGCCGTTCGTGTTTTGGGTTGTATCCATGTCGCTACTGTTCTTTGGCTACTTTGTTCCTTTCATCCACTTGGTGAGGAAACGTAGATAAACTATATTTACTGAAAGGTTTATCACTCTATCTTTTCACTGCCAAACCTGGGGGAAGAGTAATTTTTTAAAAATAATCCATAAATAAGAGTGTGGTGTGAAATTAACTTGAATGGTCCGAGAAATGCGAGCATTATATAAAGTCCCAACGCACGCGAAAGTCGCGAGCAGCATCTCATGAAAAGACTGTTTCTGGCTTTTTAAGGGTTAGCGAGAGTCGAAACCATAAACGTTAGGTACTGTCATTGGATGATCCAGTCGTTCGTCAATGGAAGGCTCCTGGCAAGAGGGTGCATACACTGAACCAATATGGCACACGTCACAACATACCTTCATACATTGAACATGTAGTGAACCTCCTGTAGTTTCGCGCTTATGGCATCTGGCTGGGATTTTTAGGTCTCGTTTTTCACCTGAGAATGAACTACTACTGAAGAGCTTTCATGTCCCGCACACAACCCCTTATGGAACGCAATTGAAAGCTTAATGACAGTATAGTTCCTAGTTATTAGCTTTCTTCAAATGTCACACTGTAGAAATTAATCGTGTTCGACTTTAATCGCGTTCGACTTTACGAGAACGCAACCTAATCTTGCACTAGCTGTTTCATAACTCTAGCTGATTTCAAGGTGGCCTCGAAATGGTCCTCTGATCATTTTTTTTTCTTCAGCCCAATTTCGCTGAGATTCTTGGAGTGCCCGAGTCTAAGGCCTCTTTGCTAATAGGCTACCTTTCCATTGCTTCTACACTGTCACGTGTTCTCTTTGGCCTTGTGCTCAATCACCCAAGAGTTAATCGTTTCTACGTTTTACAGGTATGTAAGGAAATGTTTTCACTCACTAATATGTAACCATGTGAATGTTGCTGCTTAAAGTTTCTATTGGACAATTTGGTACTTTAATAATGAACGCATGAGACTGAAATTAAGTAGAGATACGTTTTCGAGCCAAGAAAGGTGTTTGCAAATCAGGATCAGTTCATAGACTGGTTAAGTAGTTGTTAATTGTGGCCAGTCTTTATCCAGTTACAATTTCTTTTCTTTTTAAAACGAACTACTCAAGACATCTGCCGATCTACCATCAGTGCAGATACAGCAATGACCAAGCTTGTTCGGCTGGATAACGCCCAAAAAGGGAACTTTTAATTGAGGGACCAACGCGGAAAATCCCAAGCGGGCTTTAGCCAATCAGAATGCAGGATTCGCTTCATCTTGCCCGCCCGCGGGTTCAACCATATAGTAGAAGATGCTTCCTTTTTTTCTTTCAGGTTTGCTTTGTAATGATGGCTGTTACCTGCATGCTATGTCCGCTGGTACAAGATTACACTGGGCTCATATTATATGCTGTTAGCTTTGGAACGTTTGACGGCTGTTTTGTTTTGCTTCAAGCCATCACTACTAGTGATATAGTCGGACCTAATTTGCTACCACAAGGTTTAGGGTCCTTGTATGGAGTTTTATCTCTTCCTATAATATGTGGATCTCCTTTAGCAGGTACGTTTTACTCTACAGCTTAACCGCCTATTTGCATTGTAACCATTCCCATAAACCTAAAGGGTATCAAACAGAGTTAAACTTGAGAAAGTTGGCTTAATTTTTTCAAGTTCAATCGTGGCTATCGAAAGCCAAAGACATACGCTATAAGTTGTGGTATAGTGGAAGAGTAATTCAAAATAAACATGAACCATTATATGTATCAGGGGTTTCTTTGTTTCCAATGCATTTTTAAAAATGTTTTTTGATGAAATCAGTTTCATTTGTTTCATATTCGTTCTCTTCTAGCGTACATTTTTGAGAAAACTGGATCATATCAGGATGCCTTCTTAGTAGCCGGAGCCGCCATAGCTGCTGGATCCTGCACTCTGCCTTTTACTCGACTATTTATGCCAGATCTAGAAACCGGCAGAGAAAGGAAAGAAATCTGCGAAGAGACTCCCGAACAGGAAAAGGTTTCGCATGTCTCTGTAAACGCTAATGAAATTGAAGAAGGACAAAGAAACTCATGTGTATGACACAAGACACTTTGTTTATACCCCTAGACTGAGCGAGAGTCTCCGCTTTCCTATGGAAGCCTCCTCCCCCAGGTTTTACGGATGTTTGCCCCTAGGAAAAACATGATTCTAAGTTTTCTTATCTTTATTTAGTAATTAGCTCTTTTTTCAATCGATGACCTCTTTTCAGGATCACGTAGAAGTTACTGAATCTTTTGAGAGGTCAACAGTTTTTTTGATTTGCAAAGCGTTAAATAACACTTATGAACTTTGAAATCAATTTACTGATGTAGTTGTGCATCGGGCCCATATTGACTGATTAAAACTAGCCTCGAATTCTTAATTTTTATGAAGTAGATAATCAGAGGTTTCAAATTTTTAACCACTACCCACACCCTTTCGAAAGCAGTACAGGTATCAAGATTAATGAAATCAATAGAACGAAAAAAAGTAGCCCGCGAGCAAACCCTCCACGCGAGCCGCGAGAGACACGCGAGTGAGCGGCGTGACTTCTCGCACGCGACTCCCCCATTTGGAGACCTTCCTGGCAGGCTAGAAAAAAAGGAATATGTCGGGCTCTATGTTACAGCGGATACAAGTAAGTCTTGTTATCGGCGGATACCTCTTCCAACCTGATACGAATCTATTTAACGAATCTATGACGGTCAGGTGAGCTGCGCATGTAGACGAAATAACGTGGCAGTATACGTAGAACGCCAACAAAAGAGATTTCTTAAAATCCACTTGAATTCGAGCATTTCCCCAGTTTTCTTTCTTATTCATTTGGAACTGAAACGATAAATACGTTCATGAGTAAAGTCTATACCCCTTTTCAGACCAAAACGACGCAAATGCCAACCCTGTGGTTGAGCATATACCTATATGAACAATATGGCTTATACAAGGGATTTCCCCCCCGGGGGGGTCAGTGGGACCACTTCAAGTGTAAGTTTCTGATCTCCACTTGCCAGTCTACCACTTATCATCCCACCCCCCAAAAAGCACACCTCGCCCCCCTTAAAGAATATCCTTTTGTTATCCGGATTCTTGTCTCAATCCTACTATCATTTGTTTCAAATTGACGATTGCATTAATTTGTATCGCATTTTGAAGGTATATTTAATTTTGCTTTGGTTAGGCGAAAATAAAATTCCTGATGTCTAGACACTCTCGCGCATTATTTTGGTGATCGGTTATCAACAGATGTTTTGTGAGTTTCTTGACGCCGTTCTTTTCTGAGTCCTTTGATATGTCGAATCAAAAAGTGACTACTTACTTATGTTTTTAGCAAGTCTTTGACGTTAAAAATCATCTTTATGTTATTTTAACAAATGAGAAATGACCTGTTTTAAGAATAATCAGTGGTATAGGGAAAATTGTCTGCACACACATATTTCATGGGCATGTGCACTTGCGAAGGGTGGACCTTAATACTATCGATATCTTTCATCTGGCACAAAAATGACAAAACATGTTACTTGGTTCCCTGCCCAGGGTGGTGGGGGTGGTGTGGGGGGGGGGATTCCGTATTTCAAGTGACAGGGATGATCGAATGGGGGCAAAAATAAACCCCCCCAAGAAATCCCTAGTGCTTCAAACAAAACCCCCCAAAATCCCTGAACCAAAATTCAACCCCCAAAAAATCCCACGCCGAATTTCCAAGCCATAAAAATTTCCAGAAGCGGCCGGAATACGGGATCTATCACGAATCTTCAGATTGTTTTGAATACCCCAAAATATCCTACATAAATCAAGCTGCCCCAAAAATACTTGCCAAAATTTTCCTGTCCAAAAGAAATCCCGAAATCGAAAATTTTAAACCCAAGAAAATCCTTCGATCATCCCTGTCACTTGAAATCCGGAGTACCCCCCCCCCCCGGTTCCCTGCTTATGTAATTTTCATTAATGGAAGATCTTTACCGTGATATCAAACTTTTACCAAAAAGGAACACTACATTATTATATCTCGCAGTCGAAACACTGAAATGAACCCCTTATTCAGGACCTCAGGCAATAAGTTTTTCGTCAATGTAATACATAAAGACTCAAGCAGGTAGTGTTATTACAAAACAAGTACAACGGAGGAACCATCGTTGTTCACAAATCTTACTGTAACACCCTTGTAAAAAAAATAAGAAAGAAAAAGAAAAAAAAGTTATAAAAGATGCCAGGAAATAAATTTTCCACCATAAAAGTGTAATTTCTCAGTTTCTCGATGAATAGATCTGAAGTCGGAGTCACTGACAATTATTTCAATCCACACTAAACAACTGTAAAGCCAAGTCGTTTTCATTGACTATTAAAAAGAGCCTGGTTCAAAGCTCTCTTTCTCGTTTTTCCGCCCTTAAACGAATTCAAATATACCTTACCTTGGGTCAATAGTGTGACTATCGTGAGATAAAAGGAAAACGAGCCAGCATATCAAATTATTTGCAGCTATATATATATCTCGTGTCGGCACGGCCCATTGTTTAAGATATCGCGTGCGCGCAAGCGAACTTTTATCCTTGGTTGTGTGAGTCTTGCGTGGACGTGTTTGAGCTAACAACGCAAAAACTGAACAGAGTTTTAACCCAAAATGATGAAAATAAGAGACCAAATTGTCAGAAGCAAAAAGGAAAAGTATAAAGTCAGGACGGTAGAAATATGCGTGGATCGCGAATGTCCCGACGGTGGATATGGTTGGATTATTTGCATCGCAGCGGCGATTTGCCAGTTTATCATCATGGGTATTCACAACAACTTTGGTATCTTATACACTTACCTCATGAAGGACTTAAGGGCAGATCCTGCAGATACAGGTAAACTATCCTAACTGCAGTTGTACGCTACTATTTACGCAACTTTAGAATAATTTCTTAAACTAATTTAGTCGCATTTTAAGGTATGCTTCTTGTGACACTTGATTATTGCCTTAACAACTTGTTTTGGATTCCTGCATACCAATGGTGATTTCCTGTATCATGATAACATTTTTTTTATTTACGTAGCAATTGAAAATATCGGGAACATAAATTTAAAAACATATATTTGTTAATATCAAAATACACAGTCTGTGGTACAGCCCAAAGGAATTATACCCTGATATCAGACTGCTCGAGTGTGCCTCTGCGGGCAGACGTTTCTTTCCGGCAAGGCTTTTAGAAGGTGCTGAGTCTTTTGCGTCGTTGTCATTCTTATAGTTGGCTTGTTTATGTCACCAAGAGGAAATAAACAAGCCAACTACGCGAATGTCAGCGAACCGAACGACTTCGATCGTAAATGCTAAAAGCCATGCCCGAAAGGCTGATAATGATGATCCCCGGAGACAAACTTCTGCTCACCAAAGGTTAGCTTGCGTAGAGCGAGTCTGTCCCTCAGGTGGAGTAGCCTTTTCAAGTCGATAAGCTATTGAGAGCCAACTTGATCATGGGGGCATAAGCGCGTTTGAAACTGGACCACTTACTTACTTTTTCCAGAAGTTTCTGTCGCCGTTTTCTGTCGTCCATGAAACGTCACGAGTGTTGTTTGAGGCCTTTAAGGACAACAGAAGCCTCTTAGTATGCTTGGATTTCATAAACATAACTTTATCATCACTAAAAAAATTGCTGTATCTCCAGAACTCAGGCGAATCGTCTAATATCTCCTTTACATGTATTGTTTGCTTCTTTGTTTTGTTCTATCTGACATCCTGTTTCATTTAAGCTTTTCCTATTCTAAACAAAAAACTAAATATACCAAGGGGTTCTGATAATATGGCTGCTGGGGTCTGCTCAACAAGCGTTGCTCCGTGGACGAGCGCGGAAATCGAGACGCGCATCTCAAAACACGCTAGACCAGTGTGCCCTCTAGCATTTGTGTGAATTTGGATTTTGCAGAGAACTATAAAAAATGTTATTGCTGCATAATTAGTACCTGTCTACCTCTAGTGAATTTAACTTCCTAAGTTTTAATCAATTTTCCGTTTACTCCGACAAAGTTAGTTTGTGATGAATGATGACCCCTTTGACGGGAGGAAAAAGGAAACATTTCGAAGGAAAATAGCTTTTTTTTCTGAATACCTGATTCTGGGCAGATTGTCAAAAGCCGTAACAAGATGTAACCTGAATTTTAACCGACGGAGTGCTGTTGAGAAAACTTCTATTGCATTATTATAATTATAATTATTATTATTATTATTGTAGCCACGAGAGATTGCGAGTTTTTTCTTATTCTTTATTTTTCATGTTTTGCGTTGCGTAAAGTTAGTTTCATTATTAGTACCTTTGTTATCGCGCTCGGAGTAGTTTTTTGTTAGCCTTTTAATATGTGTATTCTTTCTGTAATTTTAGTCTGGGTGTCGCGTTACGTAACCGTTATTGTCAATTTTCGTAACTTCATTAGGTTTATTGTTTTCAGTCCAGTTTGGTATAAATTTTTATTTTTTGGTCCATGTAAATCAGTCGCTTAGTTGTATCCGGAGTTGCCGTACAGATCTTGTAAGTATAGTTTTTCCTGTACTTTTGCTCGTTTTCTTAGTCATTTGTTGAATTTTGGAAAGTTTTCGGTTCGCGTTTATTAATCCTGCATTTTACTTTTTTTTTTTTTTTTTTTTTTTTGCTGTTGTTTTGTTCTAGTGAATCTAGTCAAAAGACGAATTCAAACTGTACAGGAATGTTTTCTACAACTATTATTATTATTATTATTATTATTATTATTATTATTATCATCATCATCATCATCATCATTATCATTATCATAATTATTGTTATTGTTATAGCTATTGTTGTTGTTCCTAGCGCTATAAATTGCTTTTGGTACTGTCTTAGAACTGAGCCCATTCCTTGATGGTCTTGAGGTGCTAAAGGTGGTATGTTTACTGGATGAACAGAAATCGTTTTAGTGTGTGCGCAGTTCCCAATAGGATGACCTTTTGCAGCTCACTGATCATGACTGTTCTGGGGCCAGCCGATGGCAACAACTGATCGGCGTTAAAATTAGTTGAGACACTTTGCCCTCAAACAGTTGTCAATGACATTATTTCTCTCGTTTTCCCGACACTGTTTTCTTCTATATGGAAAATGAAGCTTCACTTCTCCCCCTCATGGTATTAACTCTTTAACGCCCAATATCCACATCCAAATTCTCCAGACTCATCTCCATACATTTCCTTAAAGCCTGATTACAGTGGAACCTCGTAAATACGGTCACCAATGGGCCCCCAAAAAATTGGCCGTATTAACGAGGGGCACGAAGGGTTTTTTACAGGAAAATTTAGGGGGGTTTTTGCCAGGTGGCCAAAAAAAGCGGCGTAATAACGAGGTGCGGTAAGGCGGGGTTTCACTGTATTTGAGAGAATTTGATAAGCGTTCAAAGCATTTTCCTATTGGTGATCATTTTGTTAATTCTCATAACTTTTTCTCTTGATTATGCATCGTTATTTTTAGGAGAAACTTGATGTTACTCACTCTTGGGACTTAAAATGTTAATACTACATTGTATCAGCCGATGGTGATTTATATGATTACATTCTGTTTTTCACGTTCCAGCATGGATTGGTTCCATAGCGTTTGGTGTAAACTTCCTTTTCGGCCCAGTAGCGAGCAGTTTGTGTCAAAGATTCAGCTGTCGCCTTGTAGCTGCAGCGGGTGGTCTTATTGCAGTCCTTGGTTTTTTGATGACGTCATTTGCCAATAGTGTCTACCTCATCTACTTCACATACAGTGTCGTCTGGGGTTTTGGTTCTTCTTTAAGCTTTGCTACTACTACATTTGTGTTAGGTGACGTTCGTTCAGTAGAGGTCGACATTTCACAGTTAATAAATAATGTTTTAAATTTTATCTCCCCCGCAGTCCCCTTACCCTTTTTCCACCCCATATTTGTCTAAGGTCTGCGTATTTCCTCGGAGGACTCAACCAATTGCGTTTTTGCTGTTTTCATGCAGGAAAAGGGTCGTCGTCTCCTGGGAAAGGATTGTAAGGAACGAAAATGATCTCCAGTTAAGAGCTCTTTCATGACAAACTTTCCGCTTTCTCAGTTCCTGCTTTCAGGAGGGGAAAAACGTCTTTAACGTTGTTTCCTTGTTGAATCGGCGACCGTTTTAAAAACCCAGTCCCAGTCGCTCTAAGATAAATGTCCGGGAATTTCGATTGTGCCAACTTTAATCTAATGACCGGCACAGTGATTCATGGACTGAGACTAATATGCTCTGAATAAATTCACAGTTCATCTGAGCATAGCATATGATAATATTTTGGAATGAATACTTATGTTTCCTCATTCAAAGCTTTTCGACCAATTTAATTGCATTTGATAATATCTTTTCAGGTCAGTACTTCAACAGGAGACTTGCGCTAGCCAATGGTATTGTTACTGGTGGAAGTGGTGTTGGCGCACTGGCAATGGGACCCTTTTACCACCTCATCTTGTCAAACCTCGGCTGGAAAATCTTGCTACGAATTCTCAGTGGATTCGCCTTTCTCATGTTTGTCAGCGCATTATTCTACCGTCCCCTCCCTGCCAAGTATAATCGTGTACACTTAGAATCAAAAGAGAGAGCCAAGCTGTTTGACTTGTCGGTATGGAAGATAAAGGCGTTCGTGTTTTTGGTTGTATCCATATCACTGCTACACATTGGCTACTTTATTCCCTTCATTCACTTGGTGAGGAATGGTAGATATTATAAAATGATTGAATGCTTGTTTCCTCAAACATAGGAGTCCGAGATATGCATAAATAGAATTTGCTCCTTGATTTGAATGCATATGATCCAAAAAGGCTCGAAAACCATGGAAAATTGCGCAGCAAAGTTTCACCATGACATGATTTTTCTGCTCATGGTTTTCAGTTGAAGGGCTACACTTTCTCAGCGCGTTAACGAAACCATGAATTTCGGGTACTCTCATTGAAACCATTATGTTACGCTGTTCAGGTTTGGGAGACAAGTGACCTACAAAGGTTCTTATATGGCGCATATGGCAACATAGCGTTCTCAGTAATCATGATTTTCCTGTTTGTCAGTGGTTAGAAGATCCGACAGGTACTTGCAGGACTCTTTTAACAAAAAAATCTCTCTCAAAATATCGCAGAACAAAGAATGCCTAAGAACAAGACAATTTTTTATGTTCTCTGACTTGCTAAGAGTCAATCATCGACAAGGGCTTTTCATGTCATACACACACTGTTAAAGCCATTGCCTGCGTGCAGACGTCTCCTATTGTGCAACAAAGGAAATAGGAGACGTCTGCACGCAGGCAATTAAAGCCACAGTGTAGAGTTCAATAAACTGCTCAGCTGAAGTAGACTAACCTTCTTAATAACTTTGTTGAACTGTTACACTGTAGGAAACCGATTGCTTTCGACGTTAGGAGAACGCAACCATATCTTGGGCAGTCCTGTGTTTCCTGTGTTCGCCTAGCTTTTGAGAGTTAAACTGACAATTTCTCAGTTCCACACTCTTGTTCTGTCTGAAATGTATTCTTAGGTGGCCTCAAAAGGTGCTCTAAATACTTTATTACCTTTTCAGCCTAATTACTCTGAGATTCTTGGTGTACCTGAGTCTAAAGCCTCTTTGCTAATAGGCTTTCTTTCCATTGCTTCAACCCTGTCACGTGTTCTGTTTGGCCTTATGCTCAACCACCCTAGAGTGAATCGTTTCTACGTTTTACAGGTATGTATGGAGATAAGATAAGATAAGAATCTTTATTTAAGTGTCATAGTATTTATTCGAGATGTTCTTCTTTCTTGACTATGGCGATTATGCTCACTTGTCTCGCGTTTACACATATGAATCGAAGATCGACATCAGTTATGATGCCAAGAAAAATTCTAGTGTGAATCACTCAAGCATTTAAGACCGATCAAATGATTATTAAATTTACTTAGTGTTATGTTATGTCAAACTGATGTAATTCACAAGAGCTTATTACTGAACACGATGCTGTTAGCCGCAATGATCGAGGCTGAAGAAATGATGTTTTCGCCTGTTTTTCGATGTTTTCCAGGTTTGCTTTGTAATGATGGCTGTCACATGTACACTATGTCCGCTTGCACGGGATTACACCGGGCTCATATTATATGCTGTTGGCTTTGGAATGTTCGACGGATGTTTCATTTTGCTCATCGCCATCACGATCAGTGATGTAGTTGGACGTAATATGTTACCACAAGCCTTAGGAATTTTGTATGGAGTTATATCACTTCCTGTTATATTTGGACCACCCCTGGCAGGTATAGGTTTGCTTTAAGTTTAACAACCAATTTACTTTGTAGATAAAAGCTAGAGGACGGTGTCCAAAAAAGAGGCTTTGGGAATGAACAATCCTGAAACTTTTTCGCGGATTCTCGATCCTTAAATCATCTTGTCTACAATTTTTTTCTGCTGGTCCCACAGAGGAGATAAAAGTTTAATTTGCTTAAAGAATCACGTGTAGAACGAAAATTTTTTACCCTTTATAACGTATTTCATCGGCACGTGGTAGCCAGCTTAAGTATACAGCAGTTTTTATAGTTTGGACATTTTAATAATATTGGCCTTTCAGGCCCCACCAAACGTACTGCTGTTGTTAGAATACCTACGAGAAACTGTTTTATACGGTGCCCTGCACTTCCTTTGAAAATGGTATTGCCTCACTGGACACACGGATACCAATTAAAGTATAAATATCATATGCAGAGTCGCTCAAAATTAAATTCAACTTTTCAGTTGTTTCATATTCTTTCTCTTTCAGCGTATATTTTCGACATAACTGGATCATATCAGGATGCTTTCTTCGTAGCCGGAGCCGCCATAGCTGCTGGATCTTGCACTCTTCCTTTTACTCGACTATTTATGCCAGATCTAGAAACCGGCAGAGAAAGGAAAGAAATCGGCGAAGAGACTTCTGGGAAAGAACAAACTGCGCATGGCTCTGCAAAAGCCAATGGAATTGCGGCCGGGGAAGAGCAAAGAAAGTCATATGTATGACACAAGACAATTTATGAATCGCAAGTTTCGTCGCCTTGCTGTATTTGAGGACACTTTAAAGGGTCCTCTTCTCTACTCGTCGAGAAGGAGAGGGCCTTGGGAACGAGGTTGAGAGAGACTGAGCAGTCATTGACTAATGACGTCTACTAGCTTATTATACCCAATCATTACCTTATACATCATACGCAGCTATCACCTAATCATTTCTATTCATTTCCTAAACAATATCTTATCATATCTTATCGCCTCTTGAGTAGCCCTCTTCATGCCCTACCCCTACGCGGCACTAAAGCATAATACCCAGTAAGCTAGACACTATTAACTCGAGGACAGGCGCAATGAACTCTGTATGAGGAATATGAAGAAAATGTTTCCACAGAAGTTCAAAAGGTGGTCCACTCTCGAAGATCTATCCCAGACTAGGGAAGGCCCCCATGAATAGACTGTATCGTTAAAATCTCTATCACTTGGACATCTTTTTACTGGAGATATAATCGATTCAGACTAACTGCTTCTTCACTCGTACCACAAAGCTTTTCTCATGGTTGAAAATATTTTCCACCTCTCCTTCCCTGTGTTGTGGAGGGGGTGGCCCCCCTGGATCTCTTAGGTGATATGATATGATTAGTGCGATAAGGTTTGATTGGGCCGTTTGATAAGTTAAATTAGGTAGTGATGAAATGTGATTTTCATGTACGCAGCTGATCTAGGTATTTGCTATGTAGGGGGTCCAAACCTGCGAAATTCTCAAAATCAAAACTGTTTTATATTCCCACAGGTAGCCCAAGCTCGAAATATGAGCATCGGCGAACATCGGCATTGTTGCGTAACATTCAAAATAAAAGGATTTGTATGGGAAAAAACCTATCGTTTCTGTAACCTACGAAAATGAAAGGATTTCAATAAAAAAACAGCTTACCTTACTTAAAATGTGTGTTACGTCTCTCCTGTGAGGTCCACGGGCCGATTTATGGCCGTTTTATGGGTTTTTGTGTAAACGGTGTTCTCTCTAAAGGTTGGGCACTCCAGCGAAGGCGGCCCGCGGATCCACCAAAAGAAAACGGCCGTAAATTCCAACTGCTCCAATCGCCTCCAAATTCCGCCTAGGTAACACACGATAGTTCTCCTTTCCATTCGTTGTTTTGCTTCAAGACGCCTTTGCACCGAGAGAGAATCAAAGGTCGTATATCTCTGCAACCTTTCCCGTCTGAAGCCATCGACTGAACCTTGAACTTCGCGTTACCGTTGAGAGATAGCGACACGGCCTGAGACTCAAATTACTCACACTCAGGGTGGGAAACAGTCTCTTGCTCCCGTTGACATCAATACCCGAGAAAGAAAACAACGCCTACTGATTAGGTCAGTGAACTTTGATTTTGGATGAAAATATACAGATATCGGGGTAATCGGCTTTATCTGATTTATAGACTCTTTTGAGGACATACTCCAACGCATTGTCATTAATTTCAGCGTCTTAATCGTTTGAAACAGTTACAAATTAGCAAAATAAAATATTTTATAACGTCTGGGTGTCTAAAAAGGTATACTCTTATCGGACGTGAATTTGAAAACCGGACTTAGTCCTAAGGATTTTACTACTTTCGCCTCGTTTTTATGTGGGATTGCATTCCTCAGCTTCGAAATAACACTTATCAGACCACCCAGCCCACAATTCAACAATGATAGTATTAAGTTTTTGCTGAACAAAGGCCGCAATAAGTTTGTGTTTAGACAGCCTTAATTGGTCATTATATCGCTTATGCGACGCACACCGAACCGGTTTATCTTTTCAGTTTTTTTTATGTATGTCTTGCATACAAGTGTTCTGGTGATCATCTGAGATTCGAATTCTTAGCCTAATATGATAAAGCTTTGGAACAAGATCGCCAGAAAGAAAACGAAAAAGTTGGAGGTCACCGCAGTAGAGATTTGCGCAGAAAAGGAATGTCCCGACGGTGGACATGGTTGGATTATTTGCATCGCAGCGTCGATTTGCCAGTTTATTATCTGGGGTATTCACAACAACTTTGGGATTTTATACACTTACTTGATGAAGGATTTAAAGGCTGATCCTGCAGATACCGGTGAGTTATCACAATGTAATCTACATTTTAGTCAGCTCAGTAGTTACGTAACCTCAGCAGAATTTCTGAAAACCAAACTCTCTTGCTTTTGGATCATTTTCACTCTTGCCCCCTAAACTTCATCTGTTCAGTCCTTGATACGAAGACTGCTGAACACATTGCTGAACTTAGGGATCTAAGAGATCGCGTGTGGTCAAAATCATTATAAAGTTTGCTGTCGACAAATAGCGCAGTAACTAAATATTATCCTCGAAAACTACATATCCCTGGCCCTGTTTTGTCAGCCAAGAGTAATGAAACGAGCGTTTAGAAAATTGGACCGAGAAATTTATTTGTTTTCCCCGTTTCATTGTGGCTAGTTCTAAACACAAAACTAAACATATTGATCATCATGGCTGTTGGGGTCTCATGACTAACTATTAAGTTAAGTTCTTTTCGTATAGGATTGAGACCAATGATGTCCAACGTTTCCAAGGGGGCTACACGCAATCATCATCAAGTTTATCGAGGCAAAGTAACGGTTTCTTGCTGGTTTTAATTGACTTTATTGAAAACCATTGTAAAAGACATTTTGTTTCTTTTGTGTTCATGTCAATAACAGCGGGGATAGCGGAATCAGCAAGTTCCAAAAGTTGGCATTATCAGACCTTGGATGATCAATATTTCGTTAATTAAGTATGAACATTTCTTGCAGCTTTTTCAGGGCTGAAAAATTGTTAGTTAATTCCGTTTTGACATCCCGTGCTAATCGTTCATGTTCTATCCCGACAAACCCCTAAGAACGTCTGCGTGGGAGGTTATTTATGTTCTTGCCGATTAAGGAATTCAGTAAAACTTTGATGATTTGGCAACATGTTGATGACATTGATGAGGAGAGGTTCGTTGTGAAAGTCACGGACATATATAGTCCTTGTCTTCATGTCTTATTTGGAAATGAAGACGCAACGCGTTTTTGGTGGTGATTTTTGGTTTCGGTTTCCTAGGGTTTTAAAATACCCCCAGATTTTCCGGAATCGTTCACCAAATTCATCAAACAAAGAGGCCTTGTGTATCAATTTAAATGTGTATCTGTGTAGGAAAAGTGTTTGCTCAGTAAGTTGGCTTTTGTTTAGCCTGTCAGTTCCATGTGCCCAGAAAGTCGAGTCGGAAGTGGAACTCAGGGTTAAAAGTTAGCGAAAAACTAGAGGAAAATGGGCGCTCCTTCCGGTCTCCGCTGTTTCTCTCGCCCCCACTCCACTGTTTGAATGCCTGTAACATGCGTGCATGCATGCATGCCTGCCTCATAGCTTATGGATGACTTCAAATTTAGTGCTTGATCTAAACTTAGTCCATTTTTTTTTAAGTATGAGGGATTTGTTAGATTTAATACACTTTTTTGGCGAATATTGTTTCAATAGACCTGTCCACGGTTTTTTTCAAGTTAGTTGTGACAGACCAGTTAGCGAATATCCGTTGACACTGCTAAAAAGAGCGCATTAAAAATAGAAAACTTACCAAGTTTTAAGGTGACACATTAATCGCCAAATTTTACGTTTGGATGATGGCGCTAACTTGCCTTCCCCGACCATGCATACAAACGTCTAAAACATTGGGAGAATTTGTAGAGCTATATCTTCGTTAGTTTTACAACAAATCACGTTAAAACTTGACATCTTTATTAATTGTAAGGCCTCCTTTTGTCTAACTGGTGTCAGTCAAACGTTGATGAAACCGTGGAAGGGTTTTAAAAATACCCCGATCCAATTGTTATTATGATAGCATTCGACTTTTTACGTTTCAGCATGGATTGGTTCCATAGCGTTTGGTGTAAACTTCCTTTTCGGCCCAGTAGCGAGCAGTTTGTGTCAAAGATTCAGCTGTCGCCTTGTAGCTGCAGCGGGTGGTCTTATTGCAGTCCTCGGTTTCTTGATGACGTCATTTGCTAATAGTGTCTACGTAATGTACTTCACCTACAGTGTTGTCTGGGGTTTTGGTTCTTCTTTAATCTTTGCTACAAATACTATTGTATTGGGTGAGTTCAACATCCACTTATCTAGTACATATCATTTCGAATATGCCACCTGTAAATGATATTATGAGTTAGTTATCGCATGAAATTTGTCCTTAAATGGCTTCAGCTCCGACGAGTTTCCTATGGCTCAGTGGTAGCTTCGACTCCTGTTTGGAACTCTCTGATTTCTCTTTTTTCTTGTTGGACTCTGTGTCACTGACTTTGAAAACATAATTTTCGTACTTTCACATTGTTAATAAGCTGCAGTTTTTACCTTAGTAGCTTAAAAAAAAACCTGGGCAATGTCGTTTTATTCACTTGTTGTTATATGCTATACAGCCTAAACGACGCAAAACCATTGCGGCGACATATAATGTAGGAACCCTGCAATATATTGAGGTAAATGTGCCACATGCAGTTTAAGTTAGTTATTATTCATTCAAAATATTTCTCCGATTCTGAGTGGCTAAAAGCAAACGTATAATTCACCATAACCAGCTACTGATGACCAAGTTTGGAAGAATTTTGCGTTTAATGAACCGATGACGTCAAAAGTGCAGCTTTCTTGCAGGTTAATGCATCGTTAACCGAGAAGACCTTGGGACAAGGTTGAGTGGTTTCGGTTGTGAAAACAAAAATAGCGGACTCGTTTCAAGAGAAAGAACTAGACGAAATAATAGCTAAAAAAATGGCAAGAACAGCAAGAAGACAACTCGAAGGGCGACATCTGCTATTTGCGGAGCTGAACAACCTAAACGTGCACTATCGAAGATGAACTTATTAATATCAATGGATCGATGGAGGTAAGCATGTTTTAGCCATGTTTTTAAACTAGAAATAGAGTATTTTGAATGAAGAATAAAACAAATATTGAATTCGGCTTTCGTATCATCTGAAGAATTATGCAGATCTCGGAGGGTGTTATCCCCCTCGGCCTCGACGGATAACACCGTCCTCGATCTCCATAATTCTTCATAAGATACTCAGCCTCATACATTAATTGTCAATTAAGTCGCGCTAGATAGGATAGTCTAGTTGATTCCTGAGAGGATATTTCCCCAAGCAGGGCCTCTGTACTAACTACCGTTATTTTACAATATGTTCGTACAGGTCAGTACTTCGACAGGAATCTTGCATTAGCCAATGGTATTATCACTGGTGGAAGTGGTATTGGAGGGATAGCAATGGGACCCTTTTATCATCTCGTCTTGTCAAACCTCGGCTGGAAAATCATGCTAAGAATTCTTTGTGGATTCGCCTTTCTCATGTTTGTGAGCGCACTATTCTACCGTCCCCTCCCTGCCAAGTATAAACGTGCCCACATAGGCCGAAAGGAGAGAGCCACGCTGTTTGATTTGTCCGTATGGAAGATAAAGCCGTTCGTGTTTTGGGTCGTTGCCATGTGGCTGATACATATTGGCTATTTTGTTCCCTTCATTTACTTGGTGAGAAAACGACTCGTAAATATAACAGACTGATTGAACGGCTTTTTAAAATTTTCACTTTTTTCCAGGCGTAGGGGGAAACAAGCAGCCTCCCCTGTGAAAGTTTTTGTTCACTCTCACCAAGGTGAATTTGAAGTAGAGACATGCAAGAAGCCAGGATTGGCTTTGCTTTGAGGTTCTCAAGCTACTACGCATTTTTATGCCCATTTTTTCGATAGTTTGCAAAAGAGCGTTCTCATTTCTTAAAAGGTCCCCCGTGAAATGCATTTTCGTAATGAGTGTGTGTGTTTGTTCGCCAGTTTCCTCAAATCAGTTAAACAAAGACGAAAGCACTTCTTAATTAACAGTGTAGTAAATGATTAACGAGATCGGCTCCACATGGTACAATGCTGTTCTTGCTAAAAAGTATTTTGCGCTGGTGTGTAAACAGTCCTCCGAAATGTTGATCCTTTTTAACCGAATCACATGTTGATTTTTTTTTTCAGCCTAATTACGCTGAAATTATTCATATACCAGAGTCTAAGGCCTCCTTGTTAATAGGGTATCTTTCCATTGCTTCTACACTGTCACGTTTCCTGTTTGGTCTTGTGCTCAATCATCCAAGAATTAATCGTTTCTACGTTTTACAGGTATGTAAAGAGATGTTACTATGGCGACTGTACCCAGTCCTCGCGCAAAAAAAGAGAAATCTATGTGCAAACTGAGTCGACCTGATATCTAGACTACGAGTAGTCCCCCATTTTTCCTCAGGGAGAGTAGAGCGAGCGAAACGCGAGTGTTGTGACGGGAAAAGAGTTCGACAAATTCAGTCGAAGCTCTCCCTGCGACCACTCTCGTAAGCGACCAGCTATAGTTACGACCACCTTTGTGAAACCCTGTTTGAACTCGAAACTTAAACTTTGTAATGAAAAGCTCCCGTAAGCGACCGCGACTAGTTCTGGGATTACTAAAATGGACTTTTCCTTTGTTTTTAGGCTCTCGTAAGCGACCTCTCAGGGTCTTAATCATATAAGTCAAAACTTAATTAGTGAAAATGCACACTGCACTAATGGTTCCTTGCTAAAGATGTTGTACAGTGCAGTATGTAAAGTTCGAGGTCATTCCCGTAGCCACCACATAGATGGCAACAACCACTCACAGAATTAAAGATGTGTTTCTGAAGCTCTCGTAAGCGACTACCCTCTGTCGTTTTACCATGCGGTCGCTTACGAGAGCTCATTCTCGTAAGCGACTAGCTCTAGTTACAACCACTTTTTCGAATTTCTGGATGGTCGCTTACGACAGCTTCGACTGTATTTATTCATTTGTTACTGTGGACCGCGTTATTGTTGCTTTATTAGGGTTCTAATGAACCAGTTGGTACTCGGGCAATGAGAACTGTGGAACATACGTTAATAGAGGCCTCTGTCAGTCTCGAACGTAACTGATCCGATAACTTTTCTAGCTATAAAATGAAAATTTTAAGTTGATAGAAATTTACTTGATTTTATAAGCGTACAGCTCAACAACACTGTGAAACATGGTGCTAGTGAAGACACTAGTGATCAGTTGGAGAAAACGTTTCTGGGAAACTGCCCACTTACCCTTCCCCGCAACCCAACATTAACTCTAACTTCTCAATTCGTTCAAAATGTTGCCTTAGGAGAGGGGTAGGTGGGCAGTTTCCCAGATATGATTGCCTTTTTCTTTCAGTTTGCCTTTATGATGATGGCTATTACATGTACGCTATGTCCTCTGGCACGAGATTACACCGGGCTTATACTATATGCTGTTGGCTTTGGAATGTTCGACGGATGTTTTATTTTGCTTATCACTATTACCACGTGTGATTTAGTCGGGCCTGAAAGGTTACCACAAGCCTTAGGAACTCTGTATGGGGTTGTATCACTTCCTGTTATATTTGGACCACCCCTGGTAGGTAGGTTCGATTTTTCTTTTGCAAGGGCGGAGTGTCCACAGGAGAAACCTTGGGACTTTGATGCTATTGATTCAGCAGTCTTAACTTTATATTATCTAGAATTCATTTAATGACTAATGTTGGCTCAACAGAGCAAAGTTTCCCTCTTGTCAGCCTGTGACGATTTCATGTGTATTTTGAACGTCCTTTTCAGTTCACAAGAAGCGCTTTGCTAGGTAGAAAACCTGCGTCTTGCACGGTGCAATAGGCTTGATTTCTGCCACTCTCTCTTGTCCTTCCACGGTCTTTTTGGGGAAAAAGCGTACATTCATTTCCCATAATCGAGCCCAGGTGCTGCCTCCTTTGGTGCGGCCTGGACTTTTCTGTCACGCCCGGAATCATTTTCCCGCGATAACCGGACGGATACAAAGAAAATTAAAGTAAATTATAGTTTACTCGAAATTAACCTTTTTTATTCAAACATTAAACTATTGCATATTCTTTCTCTTCCAGGGTACATTTTCGAGATAACCGGCTCATACAGGGACGCTTTCTTTGTTGCCGGAGGTGCCATAGCTGCTGGATCTTGCATTCATTCTCTAACTGGACTGGTATTTCTGTCAGAAGCGAAAGAAAGAGAACAAATCTGCGAGGAGTGCGGGAAAGAAAATGATATTGCGATTGCGGAAGAAAAAAGAAACTGATATGCTTAATACGAGACACCAGCCTCCTCCTCAGGCGCTTCGGTTTTCGCTTGGCAGAGGCGAGCGCGAAACGCGAGAGAGTGGTGATGAACCACAAGGGACTATGGGAAGGGTACAGACGGCAGACGCCCGTTGTCTCCTTCCGGCCTTCTTTTGCGCGCACATTTTCATCGAAAGAGAGACGTCTGGGTACGAGGCAGACGAGACACTTTATGTTGTGCAATGTCAGGGGCGGATCCAGGATTTTTTTTAGGAGGGGGTGCACTCGTCTCTTGCTCTACTACTTCAACACCAATAAACCACATAGTTTATTTTTTTTTGCAGAATACCAGTTGTATTAGAAAACCGCAGGTCATCTCACCTTGCGCATGTTGTGATCCGCCCCTGAATGTGGCCGTCTTACTGGCTTGTGGACACGTTTAGTTATGATACATAAGGAGCAAAAAGCACGACGTCACCGACTAAACGCAGTAATTAGTCACTAATGAATTGCAACGTAAATGCATTAGTGCAGTAACGGTCCCACTGCAAGTTATCAAAAATGGGCGTCAAAGATAGCATTTTCACTCCATAACCAAACCACCTACATGTAACTATTAACTGATCTGTTACTAATATTCATGGATTTCCCACAACCTACAAAGTAGAAAAGGGCTGCAATCTTACAAGTTAAAGGGTCAAACTTGTTTTTGTTGTTGTTGTTGTTTATAGCTTTTCTCTCGTGAATTCCACTTATTTAGCATTTCTGATATTTTTCCCTGACTCGTCCCCAGTCGTCTCTAAGTTGTCTCTACTCATTAATTATTTACTAGGGAAGCCCTTGGGTTATGCGCGCGGGGAAGATGGGAAGCCGTCATCCCCTTTGTTAAAGAGCGCGTTTTAGTCTTCCACGCCGAATACTAATAATGAGAGACGACTGGGGACGAGTCAGTATTTTTCCAGTCACTCCATTAACATGACGCGAGAAACGAGTGCCTCTCCCGTCTCGTGCCTTCAGTCACGCGCGTGGTCATTTGCGTGTCTCGGGCGGTTTTCTCGACGGACCAAGAAAAACGAGAGACTGCTCGTAGTCTACTTCACTCGTTCAACAAAGCTTTCCTCATGATTGATCTCCTGGATCTGTTAGTTAATGATTAGGTATGATGATTACTGCGGGTAAGGTAAATTAGACAGTGATCAAATGTGATTTTCATGTGCGCAGCTGATTCAGGTATTTGTCATGTGGGAGCTCCAAACTATATTCTCAAAATTGAAACTGTTTTTATATTCCCGGCCCTTTTCCTTCCTTCCAAGTGTTTTCCTACAAACCTGATTAAAGACAAGTTTGAAAAAGCTTCTGTTGGAATGATGTTAGGTCACATGTTGCACAAGTCGCATTTCTTAGCTTCCAAGTAAAGGGCTTGGGCTATTTTGGAAAAAAAAGGCTGTTTTGCAGTCTTTAACATGACACAAGATACCGGCAGGATACGAGAGTTAAAAAACAACACCGCAATTTGTGACTACAGTGAACACGTCAAAGCGGTCTGTTTGAAGGCATTCCGGGCACTGATTAAGGTCAGTGAACTTTGATGTTGATTGAAAATCATACAGATATCGGGGTAATCGGCTTTATCTGATTTATAGACTCTTTTGAGGACATACTTCAATGCATTGTCAATTAATTCCAGTACTAACTCACTCTATGATGTTGACTGGTCGAGGTCTAGAGTGAAATGACTGACGGCTCGTCCAGTCCGAGGTTCCTTATATAGGCGGTCTCCGCGCTTAATAGAGGTTTTGAACAGTTAGAAATTAGCAAAATAAAATCTTTTATAGCGTCCAGGTGTCAGCTGAATTTGTGACGTGAATTTGAAAACCGGGCGTAATCATAAGGATTTCATTACTTTCGCCTCACTTTTATATGGGTTGGGAGTGCATTCCTCAGCCTCGAAAGTAACACACCTATCAGGCCACCTAACCCACAATTCAACAATGATAGTATCAAGTTTTTTGCTGAACAAAGGCCGCTGTAATTTGTGTTTAGACAGCCTATTGTTCATGATATCCCTTATGCGACGCACGGCCGAACGTTTATATTTTCAGCTGTCTTTATTGTATGTCTTGCACACAAGTGTTCTGGTGATCATCTGAGAGGCGAATTCTTAGTCTAAAATGATAAACCTTTGGAACAAGATCGCCAGAAAGAAAACGAAAAAGTTGGAGGTTACCGCAGTAGAGATTTGCGCAGAAAAGGAATGTCCCGACGGTGGATATGGTTGGATTATTTGCATCGCAGCGGCGATTTGCCAGTTTATCATCATGGGTATTCACAACAACTTTGGGATCTTATACACTTACTTGATGAAGGATTTAAAGGCAGATCCAGCAGATACTGGTGAGTTATCACAATGTGATCTATATTAGCTGTATTAAAGCCGGCTAGTAGTTACGTAACCTCAGCAGAATTTCTGAAAACCAAACTCTCTCGCTTTTGGATCATTTTCACCCTTGCTTCCTAAACTTCATCTGTTCAGTATTTGATCCGAAGATTGCTGAACACATTTCTGAACGTAGGGATCTAAGAGATCGCGTGTTTTCAGTAGTGGTCAAAATCATTATAAAGTTTGCTGTCGACAAATAGCGCAGTAACTTAATATCATAGGTGCACACATATATCGTACGTCTGCAAAAATGCATCATAGTCCTTGGTGAATCCCAAAGGAATTGCACTGTGCGATGATCCACAGGTATTATCTTGACCTGCAGGTCGAGAACTCGAAAACTAACCTGACTCCGACCCTGTTTTGTGAGCCAAGAGTCATGAAAAGAGTGTTTAAAATAGTACCGAGAAATTTATTTGTTTTTCCAGTTTCATTTTGGTGAACATCATGACTGTTTGGGTCTCATGACTAACTAATTAAGTTCTTTTAGTACAGCATTGAGACTAATGATGTCCAACGTTTCCAAGGGGTCTAGCTGGGTCTACACGCAATCATCATCAAGTTTATCGAGGCAAAGTGACCGTTTCTTGGTGATTTTAATTGACTTAATTGAAAACAATAGTAAAAGACATTTTGCTTCTTTTGTGTTCATGTCAATAACAGCGAGGATAGCTGAATCACCAAATTCAAAAAGTTGGCACGGACCTCGGATGATCAACATTTCGTTAATGCAATAAGCATGAACACTGATTTCTTGTAGCTTTTTTCAAGGCTAAAAAATTGTTAATCAATTCTGTTTTGAAATCCTGTGCTAATCGTTCATGTTCTAGCCTGACGAGCCCCTAAGAAGATAAGAACGTCTGCGTGAGAGGTTATTCAGTTTCTTGCCGATTAAGGAATTCAGTAAGACCTTGCTGATTTGGCAACATGTTGATGACATTGATGAGGAGGGGGTTTGTAATGAAAGTGACGGACATATATATTATCTTATTTGGAAATGAAGACGCAACTCGTTTTTGGTGGTGATTTTTGGTTTCGGTTTCCTAGTAGGGTTTTAAAACACCCCCGGATTTTCCGGGATCGTGAACCAAATTCATCAGACAAAAAGGCGTTGCGTATCAGTTTAAATGTGTATCTGTGTACAAAAAAAGTTTGCTCAGTGAGTTGGCTTTTGTTTAGCCTGTTTCAGTTGCTCAGAAAGTCGGAAGTGAAACTCAGGGTTAAAAGTTAGCGAAAAACTAGAGGAAAATTGGCGCTCTCCCCGGTCTCGGCAATTTTTTCACCCCACTCCACTGTTTGAATGCCTGTAACATCCGTGTTTTTGTTTAAAGCTGCCTTATAGCTTATGGGTGACTTTAAATTTAGTGCTTGATCTAAACAAAGCTCAGTTCTTTTTTTAAGGGATAGGTTCACGGTTTAGCGCATGCTCATATATCAAAATGCTGTTTTTCTGTCGGGACATGCTGTATCTATGATCATCATGACCAAGCAATATGATCAAGTCATAATGTTGTCAAAGAACCAATCTGCACACTCCCCTGGTAGTCACTTGCACTTGACCAACTTAAATATTTGCAAATAGCTGTAAATTAATCAACCAAGGAATAAAACCATGGGGTCAACAATAAATTCAACGTTGCTAGTGTTTGCATAATCCACTATTTTTTTTCGGCGATTTTAGTACTCCTCCATCCTACTTCAGGTTACCCTGAATACAATTCTACTTTGAAATACACTCTGAGATCGCTGAGATACATGTGACTGGGATTATTAACCATGAATTAATAATAAATTGGAAAGAAGTAATTTAGTTGATGAGCATGCGCTTAACCGTGAACCTGTTTTTTTAAGTATGAAGGATTTTTTAGATTTGATACTCTTCTTTCGCGAATGTTATTTCAACAGCCCCGTCCACGGTTTTTTTCAAGTCAGTTATGACAGACTAGTTAGCGAATATACATTGACACTGCTTGACAGAGCGCCTTTAAAATGAAAAACTCACCAAGTTTTAAGGGTATACATTAATCGCCAAATTTTACGTTTGTATGGTTTGTATGATGGCACGAACTTGCCCCCCTACCATGCATACAAACGTCTAAAACATTGAGCGAATCTTCGTTAGTTTTTCAACAAATCACGTTAAAAATTGACATCTTTATTAATTGTAAGGCCTCCTTTTGTCTAATCGGTGTCAGTCAAACGTTGATGAAACCGTGGAAGGGTTTTAAAAAAAACCCGATCCAATTCTTATTATGACTACATTCGATTTTTCACGTTTCAGCGTGGATTGGTTCCATAGCGTTTGGTGTAAACTTCCTTTTCGGCCCAGTAGCGAGCAGTTTGTGTCAAAGATTCAGCTGTCGCCTCGTAGCTGCAGCGGGTGGTCTTATTGCAGTCCTTGGTTTCTTGATGACGTCATTTGCTAATAGTGTCTACGTCATGTACTTCACCTACAGTGTTGTCTGGGGTTTTGGTTCTTCTTTAAGCTTTGCTGCAAGTACTATTGTATTGGGTGAGTTCAAGATCCACTTATCTTGTAAATATAATTTCCAATATGCCAAGTATAAATGGTATTCGAGTCAATCATCGCATGAAATTTGTCCTTAAAATAGCTTCATGATCAGCTCCGAGGAGTTTCCTGTGGCTCAGTGGTAGGGTATCTTAACAGGTAACCAGAGGGTCATAGCTTCTACTCCTGTTTGGAAGACTCCTTTTTCACTTTTTGCGAGTCGGGCTGTTTCACTGACTTAGCAAACATCATTCTCGTACTTTCGCATCGTTAATAAGCTGCAGTTTCTTCCTTAGTACCTTAAAAAAAAACCTGGGCAATGTCGTTTTGTTCACTTGTTGTTGTATGCTATACAGGCTAAACGACGCAAAACCACTGAGGCGACATATAATGTAGGAACCCTGTAATGAGTTGACGCAAATGTGCCACATGTACGCGCAGTTTAAGCTAGTTAAGTCGCACTAGATGATGGTCTAGTTAAGTCTAGAGAGGATATTTCCCCAAGCAGGGCCTCTGTACTAATTACATTTTACAATATGTTCCTACAGGTCAGTACTTCGACAGGAATCTTGCGTTAGCCAATGGTATTGTTACTGGTGGAAGTGGTATCGGAGCGATAGCAATGGGACCCTTTTATCATCTCGTCTTGTCAAACCTCGGCTGGAAAATCATACTAAGAATTCTTTGTGGATTCGCCTTTCTCATGTTTGTGAGCGCACTGTTCTACCGTCCCCTCCCTGCCAAGTATAAACGCGCTCACATAGGCCGAAAAGAGAGAGCCAAGCTGTTTGATTTGTCCGTATGGAAGATAAAGCCGTTCGTGTTTTGGGCCGTGGCCATGTGGCTGATACATATTGGCTATTTTGTTCCCTTCATTCACCTGGTGAGCAAACGAATAGTAAATATAACAGACTGATAATCGATTGAAAGGCTTTTTAAAATTTTCACTTTTTTCCAGACGTAGGGGGAAATAAGGAGTCTCCCCTGTGAAAGTTACAAATATTTTTTGTTCACTTTCACCAAGGTGAATCTAAAGTAGAGACAAGCAAGAAGCCAGGATTGGCTTTACTTTGAGGTTCTCGAGCTACTGCTCATTTTTATGCCTATTTTTTCGATAGTTTGTTCGTCAGTTTCCTCAAATCAGTTAAACAAAGACGAACGCACTTCTTAATTAACAGTGTAGTAAATGATTAACGAGATCGGCTCCACATGGTACAATGGCAGAAAGTAAACTTGATCAATAAATTTTCCTTCAATCCTGTTCTTGCTAAAAAGTATTTTGAAGTGCTGTGTAAACAGTCCTCCGAAATGTTGGTCCTTTTTTTTACCGCTAATTAACCACATGTTGATCTTTTCTTTTCAGCCTAATTACGCTGAAATTATTCATATACCTGAGTCTAAGGCCTCCTTGCTAATAGGGTATCTTTCCATTGCTTCTACACTGTCACGTGTCCTGTTTGGTCTTGTGCTCAATCATCCAAGAATTAATCGTTTCCATGTTTTACAGGTATGTAAAGAGATGTTACCATGGCGACTGTACCTAGTCCTCGCGCAAAAAAGAGAAATCTATTTATTATATAGATACTGATGAAATACCAGGATTTTTCCTTTAACTAAAAAATTATATCTTCATCGCGCGCAGTGAAGATAGTGTTTTTATCTTTTGCGTGTGAGGATATTGGTGTCACCACGGTTACTAATATGATTAGCCAATTACAAGAATTACAAGAGTTTCAAAAAGTTGTGTTTTTTGTAGGAATTTCATCAGTATCTATAAAATAAACAGAACATTACATGGCCGCTTGGGGATACGAATTTTATCTTCTCGTGCTATAAGTATCTCTCACGAGTGAGCGAAGCGAAAGGAAAATTTTAAGTTTATAGAAATTTACTTGATTTTATAAGCGTACAGCTCAAAAAAACTGTGAAACATGGTGCTAGTGAAGACCTTAGTGATCAGTTGGAGAAAGAAATGATATTAGAATTATTATACGTTTCTGGGAAACTGCCCACCTACCCCTCCCCGCAACCCCACATTAACTCTAACTTCTCAATTTGTGCAAAATGTTGTCTTAGGGGAGGGGTAGGTGGGAAACGTATAATGATCTTGATATGATTGCCTTTTTCTTTCAGTTTGCCTTTATGATGATGGCTATTACATGTACTCTATGTCCCCTGGCACGAGATTACACCGGGCTTATACTATACGCTGTTGGCTTTGGAATGTTCGACGGATGTTTTATTTTGCTTATCGCTATTACCACCTGTGATTTAGTCGGACCTGAAAAGCTACCACAAGCCTTAGGAACTCTGTATGGGGTTGTATCACTTCCTATCATATTTGGACCACCCCTAGCAGGTACGTTTGATCTTCCTTTTGCAAGAGAGTGACCATAGGAGAAGCTTTGGGACTTTGATGCTATTGATTCAGCAGTCTTAACTTTATATTATCTAGAACTTATTTACTGACTAATGTTGGTTCTACAGAGCCGGAGTAGAATAAAAATTTTGGGCATTAATTTCGTCACTGCATCCGACACTTTGTTGAATTAAGTGACCTCAAAGCAAATTTTCCCTTTTGTGAGCCTGTGACGATTTCATGTGTATTTTGAAGATCGAAAAATTGGCCTTTTCAGTTCACAAGAAGCGCTTTTTCTAGGTAGAAAACCTGCTTCTTGCACGGTGCAATAGGCTTGACTTCTGCAACTCTCTCTTGCCCTTCCAGGGTCTCTTGGGGGAAAAAAGCGCACATTCATTTCCCATAATCGACCACAGGTGCGGCCTCCTTTGGTGCGGCCTGGACTTCCATTGTCTCTGTCACGCCTGGTATTGTCCCGCAATGCAATGACTGACGGATACAAAGAAAAGTAAATGATAGTTTACTCGAAATTAACCTTTTTTATTCAAACATTAAACTATTTCATTATCTTTCTCTTCCAGCGTACATTTTCGAGATAACTGGCTCATACAGGGACGCTTTCTTTGTTGCCGGAGGTGCTATAGCTGCTGGATCTTGCATTCATTCTCTAACTGGACTCGTGTTTCTGTCAGAAACCAAAGAAAGAGAACAAATCTGCGACGAGTGTGGGAAAGAAAATGATATTGCGATTGCCGAAGAAGAAAGGAACTGATATGCTTTACGAGACACCTTATGTTCTGCAATGTGGCCGTCTTACTGGCTTGTGGACACATTTAGTAATGCGACAAATGTATTTGAAATAAATCATATATGAGAACTGCGGAAATGAAATCAAGTGGAGAATGATCCTCGCAGTTGTGAACGCAATTTATGCAATTGCGTGGGAAGCCCAAAAAAAATATTCAACACTTTAACGGGATTTGAACTCGTGACGTCCCGACGTGACTTTAGTAATGAAACATAAAGAGGAAAGCGCGGCATCAGTGACTAAACCCCGGGACTAAACCCAGTAATTAGTCATTAACGAATTGTAACATAAATGCATTGGTGCCTACGGTGTCAGTACAAGTTATCAAAATGGGCGTCAAAGATAGCATTTTCAATCCATTTTCTTAAACCCAAACCACCTACATGTAACTAAAAAACTGAGATGTTACCTATATTTATGGATTTCCCCCAACCTACAAAGTAGAAAAGGGCTGCAATCTTACAAGTTAATGGGTCAAACCCGTTTCAAGGCTGCACGATGTCCAAGGCTTCTATTTAAATACTTTATCAGATCACTCTTGTTTGTGGCTTCGTTTCGAAATTCTGAATCCTTCCCGCTTTGAGAAAGGCTTAAGAAACCAAAAATGTGCAGTCGATCAGCCTCAAACTCACGAAGAAAAACCGAGTCGATGAAGTCAATTTGTCCACCATGAAAAGTTGCTGACCATGTTGCTGTTTATCTTTCTCTTTCATGGCATATTTTATCGTAATCATGTTTATATACACATATATAACTTTTTGATCAGTTTTTATCTGAGGAGTGCCGTACATGCCGTGCGGTACGAAACTACGTAGTATTAAAAATGCCAAGTCGGATCTCACTTTGACACCTGACAACCTTGATTATACTACGCTCTAGTCCTTCTATTGAGCACTCTGTCTATAGGCGTGCATATGCATCAACTGGTATAACTCTTTAATCATGTACTATTATATTATTAAAGTGAACTTTTGTTGTTAAATCACGTTATTTTGCGAGTTTACACACAGGTACCCCAAGCTCACGAGTGAGTTGCGTAACAGAAATAATGACAAAGAAAAAAAAACCTTGGCCAACATGGGTGGTGGCGGGGGGTACTATTAGTTTGAAATTTTGCTTTGTATCTAATGCCTGATCTGTATGTTAATCTGAGGACAAAATATTTTAAACCCTCAGCAATTCAATGGAATTCGTGTACAAAAGAAGAATGACAAAGGCGAGAAAATCTAAAAACCTAAGATTCTTCGGTTTTCCAGAATCTGCTGATGGAACTGAGAATACGAATGAAATTGTAGGAAAATACCTCAGCGATGAATTGGAGATAGAAAACGCAGCAGATACTGAATTCCAGCGAGCTCACAGAATAGGAAATAAGAAGACGGGCGCGAAACTAGACCGGTGATTGTTCGTTTTTTGAGCTTTCCAGAACGTGAGCTGGTTTTTAGCGCGAGCTGGCGGATGATATAGATATTAAGGTCTACGCGGATTTTCCTAAAGAAATAAGCGAAAGAAGAAAAACGCAGAGGCCACATCTTAAAAAAAGCAAGAGAGGAGGGAAAGATTGCTTTCTTTAGCAAACCAGAACCTGATAGATTATTTATTGATGGACTATTTGTTCCCTTATAGAGAAATCTAGATTTTTAGACCCTTTTTATTTTAATTGACTTGTTTATACTTTTTATCAGGCTGTTTTTGTAACGGGAGGGGCATGTGTAGGTTAGAACAATTGGGAGTAGTTGAAACGAATGTTCCAAAATTTTTGGCAGCGTCTTATAGGTAATAATTACCTCACCGCTATTTCTCTCTTTCTTGAAACGTCGTTGTGTAATGCATTTTTTGTTTGTTTGTTTTTGCTTTGTTTTGTTTGTCTTTTTGTTTTTTGTTTTGTGAGTGTGCATGTGTGCGTTTTGTGTGTGTTATCTACCTACGTGTTGTGTGTTTTTGCACTTCAGTTGTTACCTCTTTTCAATTTTTGTGTACCGCTGCGGTGGAAAATTATTTGTATTCGCATAATTTAGTTTTTCACTGATCCCATTCATGAAAGAATTTTTGGATTTTAAATTACTGTCTCTTGATGTTCGAAGGATTCGATCAGCCACGAAAAGGAGGTTCCTTTTTATCCGACTAAATGAACGGAGGTATGATATTATCTTTCTTCAAGAGACCTATAGCATTGTTGACGTTGAAGACATTTGGAGAACACGGTGGAGAGGTATGCTCTTTTTTGCTCACGGCTCTAATCATAGTTGTGGTGTGATGACTCTAGTGAGAAGTGACTTAGATTTTAATTCCGGCCAAGAACTAAAACTAAAAACCTGCATCTCTACAGGTGACACACCATTCACTGCGTGATGAGATTAAGTTTAGCCTGCGAACAGCAGACGCATTTCCGGTCGTCGCTTCTCTCCCCCCGAAAAATAGCTATTTTTCAGAGGGAGGGAAGCGTCTACTAGGAATACGTCTGCTGTTCGCAGGCTAGATTAAGTTAAGCTTAAGTGGTCAAATTGTTTTACTCGAAAAAGCGTATTCGAAAATTGTTTAGAAAGGACTTCGAAACAGAATCGTCACTCCACCAACGGCTAAACCAAAGTTTAATGCTCATTTTGTTAATGACACTTCGAATTGGAAAAAAATTTGTAGCTTGCCATAACGTATGCCTTGGAGACAAAGACTCGCGAATGTCAGTACAAATTACTAAACAGATGCCTTGTGACAAATACCTTCTTATGCAAAATTGGTATTATACCATCTCCAACGTGCTCCTTATGTGGTGAATCGGATGAATCACCCTCGCACAACTTTTCCTGTCTTGTCAAGTACTAGGGTCTGAGGTTATAAAATGGCTCGTTGATCATAAGTTCAAGATTGAAAATCTTTCCGGCAAAGATATACTGTTTGATATTATTGAATGTGGGGACGAGATAATTGTGAATCGTATTTTATTACTGGCAAAACAATACCTATACTCTTGTCGACACTATTCTACCTCCATTAGAGTTCTTAATTCCAAAACTAATACTTTTTTCTTAATCGAGGCAATGATCGCTAAGTCAACCAATAAGTTGGAGACCCACAACATGAAATGGAGCAAATATAAATCTGATTAGCGTACGATCCTTTCGCCGCTTTTTTCATTCATTGGTAAATAGAGAACTGAATGTACAGGGGCTTCTTTCTTTCTTTCTTTCTTTGTTTCTTTCATATCAGTATGAAATTGCTTGTGATATATATATATGTTAAGTTTTCTTTTCTTCTTTTCTGTATTTTTCCTACGTGTTCATAAGGGTCAGCGTTTAAAAAAATGTAATACATAACAAACTAAAAATTCATTAAATTACGAAAAAAAGTATGCATAATGTCAATGTGTGTGTAAGTCCATCCGTCCATAACAGTTTTTCCATTGTTCTCATTGCACAAGGCATTAATACTTAACCTTCAGCCGAGGGTACTGGGTTAGGTACCCTCTAATACCCTTTTTTCGCTATAGAATTTAATAGATTTTTTTAAGTGCAACAAACAAACGTTGCTCATTTGGAATTAAATGTCCCGTAGCACACAGTTTTAGCCTTAAACTTCCAGAGCAGAGGTATCAGGTTTGATACCCGGCATCACCCATATTAGTGATATTTTTTGTTTGACAAATTTTAAAATAGATTCTATTCTTCTTGTTTTTCTTTTTTATGGTTGCGGGAGTACAGACTATTCATAGCCAGTAAGCACATGTTCTCTTAGGGGAGCATTCTTTATTTTGAAAGGACCTTTTAAGGCAGTTTCCAGCTATTTTTTTTTTAACTTTCAAGGGCCCAATTGGAGAAAGCTTCAAGGATATTGTTATGACATAATTAAGCTTATTAAGTCCACTGAAAACAAATGAGGTGTTAGCAGTGTAAAGAACAAAAGAAAAAGAAATTCTCTCATTGCGCTTCAAAACCATGAGAAGGAATGCAGCTGAATGCATCGTATACTTTGAACGTTAGGTGAACTAAGTTTTTTTGAATTTTCCTCCATTTCGCAATGCAAGAAGTTTTCTACTGTTATGAGGCGATAATTTGGTGACTTTGGTCTTAATTGCATATGGATAAAAATAAATTGTTTGTTTTTTATATGTTTTAGACCAGTGAGAAACGAGCCAACATAACCTAGCTGAAATTTGTTTGGCTGGTCATTTTTTTGAAATTACTAGTGACGCGGTGGCTTTTACCTCTGTTTCTCTCTATACCTACT